CTTTGTGGTGGAGAAGATGTGTGTTGCTAGACCTTCGCGGAGGGTAGGATCGCCTGGGGATGGTTAGAGGTGATGAGTGAGGGGGAGGGGAGGGGGATGTACCTGAGCCGGCGATTGTGCGGAGGCCAGAGATGAAGTCGGTGCCTTCGGAGATGTCAAAGGGGAGCTTGGGGTGTTAGCCGATAGTGGTAGAGGTGGGATGGTGGTTTAAGTACCCAGGCTAATTGAGTTGGTGAGATTCTGACGGCTGGGTTAAGAGGCAGAAAGCAGCTCTCTGTCCCTTCGACTTTGGGCATATCCGTCTACCTACGTTAGTAAAGTAATCTCAAAGAGGCGTTAAGACTCACGAATCCTTGGTGAGCAACAGCAGGTCTTGCTCGGTACAGCCACGAGTTTTTATTAGCTTGGCGAGAAGCACCAAACGACGTGGTCATCTGTTCAGCGTATAGGCCGAATCTGACACATCGCGGACTGTTCTGTCCGTGGGGGATAGTCCCAGGAATAGCCTCTGATTCATGATGGTTGTTGAAGCCAGAGAGGTACGTATACGGATCATTCTTTCGAGTCGCAAATGAGGGGATACTTCCATCCTTTTGGGTCTCTGCCCAGTGAAAGATGTTCTGATAATCCTCTGATGGCGCCATGATGAATAATTCTGAATGAAGTGATCAGTTGAACAGAGCGTAGAGGGAGCAAGATCCGGGACTGGCGGAAACGGTAGAGGCAGTGTTTATATAAATTCAGTAGATAAGGTGCACTTGCCGACCATAAGAGTCAAACTCACCCCGCTCCTTGGCTACCCCATCGGCGGCAGTTGGCCCGAGGCTTAGACTAGCGTTAGGGTGCACAAAAAGACGAAAGCTAGGAAATAAGTGGGAATTTGGGATCCACGATCTACGTAATCTATGCTTACTATTCGATCAGTCAGACGAACTTTATGGTTAGCAAGTGGAGACGTCGGATATAGAAACGTCGAGTTGAGGGTGGTGTCGGAAATATAGAATGTTGATATGTCACTTTCATAGGATGATGCTAGTGATAATGTTGGTGTTTGGATGTCAGCTGATGCCAAGCCACGTTTCTTAGTATCAAGTGACTGCTTTAGTCGGAAGCATGCCGCCGATCAAATCATTGTAAATTCACTCTACGACACATTTAGTCTCTAAATCCGCGACTGGGATTGCAGAATGCTCATTCATTGCTTTTATAGCACGGCTTAACAAAAGTCTCTGTCATCAGGAGTTAGATGCCTGTAGGCCCCTCCATACAAGAGGTTACATCTAAAGTCGCTCTAGCCAGTATCATAGTGCCCAGTAAGAAAGTCATAATGCGTACTCAACGACATCTCACTCGCCTCCAGAATCCAATACCCGGCGCCAGGACTCTCTAAATGATACGGAGGCCTCGGGTAGCTATCAACATACGGTAGCTGTATGACATCAAGCCCGCCCTCATACCCGTCCTTGTCTCCCTCGGCATTCCCCAGCGTACGCCAAAACTGACTGTAGGTGATCTGTCTTCCTGTAGTTGCGCTTCGCATCTGACCCCACGAGATACGAGAAAACCACTCCATGGGGATAGCGAAAGAGCAGTCTTCTACTGTTCGCGCCAAGGTATCGAATGATGCGATTAGTTCATCTGGATCTGGATCGCTGACGTTCACCCCGCTCCATTCCATTGAGACGTAGAGACGTTTGAGGTTCAGGAAGCGGGGAGACTGCGGGTCGGGAAGAATGAGGTTGGTGACATCCTCGAGGACATTATCTTTGGTTATGGGGGCTTTGATCTCGAGGGAGGTGATCTTGGTGAGATGGTGGTGCGGTATAAGCGATGGGAGTTCCGTGATTGTTGCTTCATCGGAGATAATGATGGTGTTTGTCAAGTATAAAATATCAATCGTCTCTGCGTAGCTGCCCATAATGTTAGTTGGTTCTCATTTGTAGATAGAGAATGCTGACGTACTTTTGCCGACAGGACTGTAGCCAGCCCATTATCCCGATATTTTCGGGCCGTGGCTTTGGGACGTTGATCGGATCACAGCAGCGGTCGATCCACGGACCTGGGTTGAGGCCACCGCGCGTCATGGGTCCTAGCTCTAGATCATACTTCCGAGCGCAGATACATCCATTCCAAGACCAGAGCTTTCTCCGTAGGCCTGGGGCATCACCGTCTTCCGGATCACCTAGTTCATAAGCTCCAAGATCGTCCGTATCCTCTGGGGCACGACGAGAAGCGTCAAAAGCGAGATGCATGTGAACACGCCTATCCCCAAACGCCAGCCGAAGTATATCGCGTCTTAGATTAGCAGGGACCTTGAACCAGAGTGATTGCTGAAACGCTGCTGCTGGTCGCTGCAGACGCTTATCATCATCTTCATCGCTGAAGCCCGGCGGTGTAAGTGCACGAGGTCGTGGTGACGGTAGTTTTGGGATTAAATGTTTCCAGTGTTTCCAGTCCTTATCGTATTCTCCCCAATCTGGCGAAATGGGTGGACTCGATGCTGCTTAACTATTAGCGTATGTTTGATTAGAAGTGAATGGGGAGAATACAACGTGAGCCTGGTGAGGTGCCTCCACTGAAGGAAAAGTCTGGCGAGGGAAAATCTACCGGGGGTGGTACTGGGCTTGAGGGCGCCATGTTGGAGTGAGATGTTGAGAATGAGTGAGTGAGAGAAGTTGGCGGATGAGATTAATTAGTCTGTGGTCACGTGAGGGGCAGGTTTCTTTCCGATCCCATGATACTAAGGAGTAGAATCCGCTCGGCTCGTGCAATGAGAGGAATTCATTAATTTCTGAAAGATCAGTTTATACTATAATCTATATTTTCTATTAACAATCCCATCTACTCAAGGTAAGCCTGGTAAGGTATGTAGCTTAGTTGCATGACCAAAGGCTAGCGTAACGCGATGGGGTTAATGTTTACCCCTACTGTTATATACTGCAAGTCACGCAACAGGTTCTACAAAAATACAGTTAAAAAATAATGACTGCTCCAAAATTGGGTCCTGCATTTCATCGCTATTTACGAAATATTATATTCTATCCAACTTATCTCAACACGTAGCAATACCTAAGGGTTCAACCCCAACTTGTTCCTGAGACGGGTAAAATCTTGAGCATCACCGTTCTTGGACCAGTCAAATTGATCCAGGTACCTAAGAATCTCCATTAGAAATGATATCGATTCCAACATCGGGTGACTGACTTACATCATGAAGGAAAATACTGCCAATGAGTCAGCGTTCTTGGTGGCCAGCTTAGGACCAGAATAAGGGCTTGTGTTGCCATTCTTGTCTTTATAAGTGCGCGCCAAGTTCATGATCCAACGGAGGCCATCTAAAACAATTAGCCTGTTTCTCCCCATTGCTGTTGCTGAACTTACACGCTCCCTGCTTTCTTTGTCCCTTCTGGTTGAGTTCTTGCTGCGAAGGTGGACGGGTGTAGTATTCGGCCTGGTTGTTCTTGTCCTTGTATCTCAGGTAGCCCTTCTCGTTGACAGCGACCTGGTCCTTTATGACTGCATCATGTTAGATTCGGTAGACCACGGAACGCTATGAGAACTTACTGTGCTTCAAGTTGGCGTCAACACCACCGAACCAGTGCATGAGCTCGTGGTAAAGCTGGGTAGGGTTGGACACCCAGTTCGCCATGATAGAATCACCCAAAGCAGCAGAGGTCTTGTACTGTCTCGGCGTGATACGTGCCTTTCCAGCATCAGATGTCATCTTGGGACAGATGATCACAATATCGTCGCTTGACGAGATCACAGCCTCTCGGTTCCCAATGCAGTGTCCGACAGAGGCTGCCTTGGTCTGTCTAAAGTCCCAGCGGTTGGCGTAATAAAAGGCACCTGCGATTGTGCCGCCACCTTGGATGTAGCGGCTCACGGCTGGTTGGTCTCTGACCTTACCTACACCAGGCTCAGGCTCGTCATCAACGTCGTACCATTGGAAGACATCGTCGCCGCAGACCATCAATGGCTTAGCGTTGGGCTTCTGGGATAGGATTGGGCTGAAGCCTTTGGCGGGGTTATTTTGAGATGAGGGAAGAGTGTTGGCCGTTTTGGCGAAGATGTCTTTTCACGGTCAGCAAAGCCAGATTGTCAAGAAGAGTTTCAACATACCTCGCAAATCCTCAATGTACTTTTGAGTCTCAGCATCGTGGCCCTTGTAGTTAGGCATAAGACCAAAGATGCTATTAGCAGCCGATGAAATACGCGCCCACTTTACTGCCCCGTCGGGATCAGAGTTTCGGTCCGGCATCTTTGCAAGAAGAAAGTCGAGACTGGTTCTAGCAGCATCAGCAAGATCGATTGACTGTGTCAGAGCATCCTTGATGTCATTCTCGAAACCATTGCAGCTAGGGTCAATTTCCCATGGATCTAAGGAAGCTTCGACTGCTAGTGCAGAGCTGTAAAGACCAGCAGCCAGCAAGAAGCTGGACAAACGCATGATGGGCAAAGAATGACTGTTTAAACGAGTGACTGCGTCTGAGAAGAACGCGAAAATGAGCGAAGGACTGAGGGACGGGCAACCAAAACAGGTAGAGCTCGATAGCGTATGTATGTATATTACATTCTAATGAAATCGCAGAGACTGTCTCATCCTTGAATGTTTATCTCCATGTAGCCCCTGCAGTAAATTGGCATAAGCTGAGCCTCCACTATCCAAGATGACACCCCCACAAATCAGCCCTGGGGGTTTCATCCTTTGATCCTACGCTGATTGACGAGTCTGAAAGGCTTTACAAAAAAGGAACAGACCATTGGGTATCGGCCCGGCCAGACGATGAGTTGATGCTCGTTTACTTTAAGATGGTACTCCATAATAATCGGCCATGAACAAATAATCAGTGGACGGAGAACAAGACTATCAACATTCCGTGCCGTTGTGTATTTCGCTTGTTGCCGATCTTTGAGCTGTGCCTCACAAGGCAATTGTTTTCGCATACCAAGATGGGAGAAGTGTGCTGAGGTTTTAGGTTGCGCCGCTGTGAGCGAAGGATTTACGGTTATCTGAGCTTGAGTAGATAGCGCAAGTGTCAGCACTTGGCTGCGACCACTGAGACAGTCTACACGATTGTGCAAGCTATTGACTCGAAAAGTCCTCGAAAAATGGATGAATTACTTTGAATTCTTACAATGACTAGGAGGGAAGTGATAGGCAAAGTGATTTGGTCCTCCGATGGATCAACATGAGCGCTCCATCTCACCATCTCCATAACAGCAAAGCCGTACAACACCCAATAAGCATAACATAGCTCCGAGATGAAATTCTTAATGCGACATTAATATCGATGATCAGCCTTGTCTTACAAGGTTCAAGGTCCAACTCAATTTCACCGAGTCCTTCCCGTTGCATTCTCATCAATGCACGGCCCCAAATCTCCCAACAAGGCTGAGCATCAGCAGCTCCACAACGTTTCACGTAAGTTAATGAAGCTGACTTGTTTCAAGGATCGATAGATTAAGCTCCACTGCCAGCCATGACGGGTATATCCTCATGGTATGTCTATCCCATGAAAGCCCTCCCTCTGTCACTGCATCTTGCGACTCTCTACGGACATTCTTTCATTCCTTTTGGACTGTACGCATTCATTCGTTTATGCTGGTATAGTCGTTCACTCTTTTTTCCACGTTCTTTACAATAATGCAGCAGCCTTGGAAGTTGCGCGTTCTTGCGCTGTGTCTTGCGACTTCGTTGTCGGCGGTCTCTGGGCAGGATCTTTCTACAACGACAGGTACTGAGACTTCAACAGACTTGGGCTTCGTTGCGCTTTCAACTGAAGTTGCTGTGCTTGAGACAACTTCTTCAGAGGCCGTTGTTGACCAAGCTCCTTCGTCTGCTACTTCTGAAGTGCATGCGGAGATCCCGACTACTACTGCTGACGAGGAGACGACTCAGATCAATGTTGCTCCTGCTTCATCTGAGGAGAGCAGTCAGGAAGTAAAGCCTACAATGAATGTTCCTCCCGCATTTGGAACAACGGAGTCTGCTGGTCCTGGTGTTGAATCCTCTTCGCAACCCGAGCAGTTGCCTGATACTGCTACCACCAACAATGACATCCCCGCTAACACCGCCACTGGCCATCCAGTGTTCCCCAACCCCACCACTCAAGAGACTGAGCTTGGTACCCAGTCTACTGACGCTGCTTCTGTGGACCATACCTCAACGGAACTTGTTGGTGCTCCCTCTAAGGCTCCTACCGACACCACTGGTGCTGTCACGGATATCGCGCCTCCTGCTGCTTCTACTGAGCCTACAATCCAGACCGCTGAGCCGACGACTCAGCTCCCTGCCGCAGAGGCCACTACTGAGACCTCTGCGGCTGCTAATCCTACCACTGACAAAGGACCTGAGGTCTCGACCGACTCCGGTCCCACCCCCGTCATCGACATTTCTACTGAGGTGAATGCCCCTGAGGTTTCCACTTCTGAGGAGGCTCAAGTCCCTGTCGAGTCCACCACCGATAACAATGAGCCAACGACCGAGGAGAAGCCAGAGCCCGAGCCTACCACTGATTCCAAGGAGGCCGATAAGCCCACCACTCAGGGCCCTGGCCCTAAGCCCACGACCGAGGATGCTGACTCAAATGAGCCAACATCGAAGTATGAACCTGGCCAGACCGGTACTCCCAACGAGCCTGAGAAGACTACTGCCCCTCCCAAGCCGACCACAACTGAGGATGGCATCGTAACTGGTTCCAACGGCGCTGTTGTGACTTATCTCCCTGAGCAGGACAAGGACTACTCTGATTTCACTGGTACCACGACTACTACTGACGACGGTGGTGCTGCTATTGTTATATTCCCTGGTGGTTGGTTCTGGAAGCCTTCTGGTAACCTCCCTGCTGGTATCCTGCCCCCTCCTCCTGGTACCAACCCTGCTGGAGCTGGCGGTGGTACCCCTGGTGGCGGTGGTGAGGGAGAAGGTGAAGATGACAAGAACGAGACTAAGAAGGAAGATGAAGAGCAGTCCACCAAGGAGGAGGAGAAATCTACCGCTGAGCCCTCCACCGCGGAGACAACTACCAAGACGACTGAGGCTACCACTACTACCGAGGCTTGCTCCGCTGTTGAGATTGAGGACTGCACCAGGACTATCTCGTACTATACCACCGATGGAACCGTTACTCACACCGAGTTTGGCGACTGTCCTACCGTCGCTAGTTGTGCAACTGGTACACAAGCTACCTCCACCGAAACCGTGTCGGCTGAGGCTGAGGAAGGTGAGGAGCTCGATATTGAAGAGCTTGACAGCGATATTCCTGATGATTTTGACTCTGAGCCTGATGAGGACACTGTCGAAGCGCTTGAGGATGCTTTGGATGAGGGACTTGGTGTTGGAGCTACCACCACTGAGGAACCTACTGCTTCGTCTACTGGTACTGAGACTCCTGGTGAGGCTACTTCTACTGAAGCTGAGACTACCAGTGACGCCAAGACTGAGGAGACGTCTTCAGAGGGTACCACTGAGCGAACTACTACCATTCCTAGCACTCTCATCACCACTACCCGCAACACAGAGTCTTCCAACGAGTCCTCCGGTACGACTTCAGACGGTACTACTACTGAACTCGCCTCTTCTGACATGATCACCTCTACCACTGCTACCACCACCATGCGCACTTACTACCCCTGCATTCCCTACGGCGGCCCTCGCGTTGAGACTCCCGCCTGTAACTGCGAGACCAGCAGCGACGGAGAGCGATACGTCGTCACAGCGCCAATGATCTCAGGCCAGTGCGCAGACTACACCGAATTCCCTATGAGCTTATACACCACTCCCCCTCCTGCACCTGAGCCCACTGTCTTCAACGAGCCTTTCACCCGCACTGACGCCGGCACTGTTTTCGTTTACGGGTCCTACTCGCTCAGCTACTTCGCCGTCAACACCATCAAAGTCACCGCCACCGTCGGTCTCGGCGAAGCTTCTACTGTGTCAACACCTCTCCCTACTGCAACGAACTGGAACGGCGATGGGTCGAGTATCTGCAGCAGTGGTGACAAGAACGTTCGCAACGCTGTTGCTGGGGCTTGCGAAGCTGCGTTGAATAAGTTTGAGGATGATACTGTGTATACGGACTATGTTTCTCGCTATGAGCGCATGGGAAGTATTCTCAAGGTGCTTACTTTCGGAAAAGCTGGGTGTACGGTTCAGTTCTCTTGTGATGACTATGGTATCGGGATGAAGGGCAAGGATATTAAGGATCTGTAAGTTGACATGACTCTTGTGTGAGAGATATATGCTAACTTCGTTATAGGCGCCGACAGCAAGATGGCTTGACGCGTTGTGGCAACATTGACTGGTCCAACTCGTGCAAGATTCACATTGACTACTGTACAGAGTGTCACCATGATGGCTGAAGAGATACGTAGTTCGTAATTCATTAATAGAGAGGCTCATGTCCTTGTGAATCATTCAGCAGACGATCTGGTTGGAGGCTTTGTAGATACCATGGGCGAACGGGTTATAATTGCCCGTTCCAAGGACAGTAGCGTAAAGAAGCTACCCCTACAGATTTGACATAGTGAAATTTGTCTAATAGCCACCACTGAAATCTCTTATAACGCTGTACAGAAGTGAAAGTCTGCGGGATTGAATGGATGACCTTGAACCGACAGTGAATCACCATCAGGCGTGGCATAAGGAGATGTGTGCTTATATTATGAAGGAGCCGGTGGTGTCACCGACTTGGCGGCTAGCGGTATATAATATCGAATCAGAAGTGAGCCTAATACCCCCCGAGGCTCGGGTCATAAATCCAGATACCATATTTCTTAATGTCTTAATATGGGGTCCTACTTGCATCAGTTTCTGACACTATGTTATTTTGCATGTAATACAGTGCATTTTTGGATCTGTTTATTCCGTTCTTAAAAAGGCTAGAACTTAACTCAGGTACCGAGTTCCCGTTCCCAAAGAGGCATAGCAGGACCTTTCCCGCCTCGCGAGTTTGCTTACCAAGTGCGGCTCGACTGCCAAATTATAACGATTTCAGCAGCAGCTGGATTTCTTGCCTGTCTGTTGGTTGGTGGAGTAATTTACTTTATACTCCATTAGCTCGGCCCGATCGTGCGGCTCCTGGAAAACTATGGTAAGATCTTATAATCTCCCCTCAAGTTTTGTATGTATTACGTGTTTCAGGTAGCATTTCTACCTCATACTCTACCGGTTTGTAAATGACCTTCCAATTAGAGTGCGGATGAGTTGAGAGCAGGTACATCCGCTACTGTAAATCTATCACTCCGTTATATGATGACTTAAACTCATATATAAAACAGCTACCTGGCTGTCTTAATGTCCATTACTCTGTAGCCAATCCTCTAATTCAAGCATTATACAAGACTATTTACCCAACAACCCCCTTGTCTTTACCAAAATGCAGTTCACCAGCCTCCTCACTATCATTTCCCTTGCATCTGCTACTTCCGCAGCCCCTGGTGACCGTGGCAGTTACACTGTTTCCGGCCTCGGTACGCGCAAGCAGGCTATCTTGAATGCCGGTGGCAACACCCTTGACTTGGCTATAGCCATGCTTGAGGATGAACACATGTCAACCAACTACAAGTATGGTAAGTAAACCCCGCTGCAGAGATATATCTATTAAGACTAAAGTTTCCACAGGCGACGGCAAGACTCTCGACGCGGCCAACTTTGGCGTTTTCAAGGTCAACTGGGGAATGCTTCGTGTCTGCGCTAAGCGAGCTGGATTCGTAGGACAGTCCGAAAGTCAGTGGAACAACGGTGCTAAGCTTAAGTAAGTGCTGTTGGAAAAGGCATCCGTCAAGTTTACCAGGTAACTGGCTGATCAGTTCAATCACAGCTCTGATATCTACGCTGATGTTGCCTCGCGTTGGGATTGCCAGGAATATTACGGTTATGATAAGTGGTTTGCCGGTCACCGTAACGGCGCTACTGGCTTGTCAAACCCCAATACGGAAGATATTCGCTTCTACCGTGAGTCTGTTGAGTGGATCCAGGCGCAGATTGATTCAAAGTCTACTTACAAGACTGATGATACTCGCTTCTGGGTTGATGTGACCCCTATCTAAGTCAGAAGGGTCAGCCTGTTACCGGATGTAGCGACTGTGAGGCTGGTGGTTATAGGGGGTATGATTGGCTGTAAGCCATTTCAGCAGGCGGATTATAAGGGGATGTTGAGAGTAACTTTATTTCAGATATTAAGCGATTCTACTAACTACTGCATTTAAATTAAATTTTCACTATTATCTAGAACAGAAAACCAGTAACGCGTCCCCATTTTAAATATTTTACTTTTTAGGGGTAATGATACCGCATAACAGAGTGTCAACCCCAGATTTTACCCCGTATACCAGTCGCTGCGGAGTTGCATGAGCTCGGCTGATCAGAGCCGACAAGGGGTAGAGTTGGAATTTAGGTAGTATATAAGCCCCCGCTTCTCATTGCTGCACATGTTCTCGCCTGCGCGTTAAGCTAACCTTTCTTAACTAAGGAATTAGAAGTAACCTTTTATATACCCTAAAGGCTAGCTAAGGAATTATTGTTTAGGTTCTTATTAAATTAGCTTTATTCTAGTAAAGAGAACCTAGATCTTGAGCTAATAGTAAATTAGCCTTGGCTATAGTACAAGGTAATATAGGTATCAGCGACTTAGGATTAAGCGGTATATCGTTTATCGTCACGTGTAAGCTGGAAGCCCCCTGTAGTTCGTGTTACAAATCCGGATAGCCGGCTCTCCAAATCCTTAAATATGAGGTCTGGTTGCGTCGGCTTTTGGCACTACACTGTGTTCTAGGTTCTAGGTTCTCTCTGCTGGAATAAGCTCACAGCTAACATAGTAGATCCTTTAACTTGCCAAATACTAGTCTATGTAATATAAAAGTCTTATTAGAGAATGATAATATATACAAGTAGGAAGCTTTACATCAGAAGGCAGCGTTCTGGCAAACTTCTGTAGCAATTACAAAGCTCCCAGCCACAAGGCTCAACTCCGGTGTTGTCACGCTCCCAAGCTTGCTTTGCGATGTAGTTCTGTGCTGATTTAAGCTCTCAGCCATAAGCATCGGCTGTAAACAACACATCTAGCCCGCAACTTGGACATTATGTTACAAGCTTTGCGACGTACACGTCATCGATAGCAACCTTGATTCCGCTGCCCGCACTATCACCACATAGGACAGAGACCCCCATTTTCGCCGGTGCAATGTTGATGGAGTTAAAGATAGTCTCCCGTTTCGTCCAGGTCTTGAGCGGCAGGGGGGATGTGAGGGGATGGAAGCCGGCAGAGGTAGATGTAAGTCCGTCGGTGCTCGTTTGATCAACGATGATATAGCAATCGATGTTTTGCGGTTGAGTGTCCTCATCGACATACCACCAGTACGACAACGTGTAAAACTCGAACTGTTCTATGTCGACAGTCTGGCTTACAACACCATTCTGGGCGGTGTTCTCGATAGACCAGTATCTGAATGAACCGCATTAGCCTACTGGACATATCCTTTTACAAAGGGCTGACTTACGCTGAGTGGGAGCCGGAGTGAGCAAGATCGGAGTTGATGGTGACAGAGAGAGGAGAGACACTGTCCGAGAGAGTCCACGGTGAGCCGTCAAAGTCTCCATCGCCGTTGGGCTCGTCAAAGGACGGGTTGAGGAAGAGGTTAGAGGGCACAGAGACCTCGGCGGTGGTAGTTGTCGGAGCTTCAGTAGTGGTCGCCTCAGTAGTGATAGCCTCAGCAGTAGTGGAGGCGGTGAGAGTCTCGACAGTGGAGGAGAGCTCAGCAGCTGAAGTGGTCACAGTGGCAGTATCGGTGGTAACAGACGAAGAGAGTAGCTCAGTCGAAGAGGACAACTGGGAATCTGATGTCTCCGCGAGAGTTGAAGTAATGGATTCGGAAATGATTGAAGACAGGTCAGCTGTCGAGGACTCAGCGACAGAAGTGGCAGTCGAGATTTCAGTGGAAGCTGAAAGCGTTGCTTCAGTAGAAGTTGTTCCAACAAGGGCTGTTGAGGACCTTGGCTTGCATGGGCCTGCGTGCCCACTGCTGCAAAGCGCAAGCACAACGAATGTGAGAGAAAAACGCGTCGCCTTCATTGTAACCAAGTTCGTACGGTAAAGACAGTAAGTTAAAGGGTCACGGTTTTCAATGTTTACTTGGGCCCTACAAGGCTTTATTATGACACGATGTCAATCCTAATTTACACCTTAATCGCTAGTGCTCAATAGTGCGAATAATGGCGTTGGCTGAAGCGAAGTGGCGTTGATAGTCAACTCCCAACACGCCTATAAGAACTCTTCATTTTTCAGGCGTTGGATGCTCTAGAGTCGAGACCAAATATTTCCAGGGGCATGTTGTCAAGTGTAAATTATACTCAATAGGGCATAAGGACTCATAAATGTTGCCATTCATCTGCATATCGGTGAAAGGCCGAGCTTTACTTCGCGGTATGTGCGCTGCCCTATCCAGCTAACTAATTCTTCAAGTCATTAAGTGCCACTGTGCACGACTGGGCTGCGTCACTCCTTGATTGACATGGCACTGGAGTAAGTATTTGACAAGTTTTAGCTAACGAAAACTGCGAGCGTTTCGTTTTCAGGTTTTCAGATTTCATTCTACTGATAATTCTTGATTGCGAATTATACAATATCCAGCTGAACCCAATCGTTGTTGGCATGAATAGCCTCCCCATGCATGATACCATGAACATAAGTCTCGCCGATCAAGCTGTACTGTTGACCCTTCCTTCGCAGAACCAGCGGCGTGGGACATCCAGACACAACCCAGATCTCATCACCCACCAACGTAGACTCAAAAACACAAGCAAAATATCCTTCGTCCATAATCGCAGGCCGCCGTTTGAACAACGTAGTGCTTAACAAGGAAAACATAAACACCATATTCTTCTTCTTTGATTCCAACCAAGCCACATTCTGTTCGGGTGCCCATAATTTATCGTCACTAGTTTCAGGGAGGAAGCCAAACCCACTGCAGAATGAGGCTAGCAACCTAGTTGTAGGGAAAGGACTCTGGTTCGGATGTTTGGCTTCCAGTGCATCCATAGCCTCCAAAGTCAGTAGAAGTGCCTTGACAGCGTCCTTGCCCCCGGATTTGAACTCATCGCTGATTCTTTTAGCCATCAACATGACTACCATATCTTGGAAATGCTTGGTCGTGGGAAGTTTGGCTGGGCGGTCGGATAAATCCTGATCAAACACCAATGTTCGCCAGAATGCCTCGGCGAAGGGCTGCTTCGTGAAACGATATATCTCCTCTGCGTCGACTAGCATCGCAGCGCACTGAGTGAAATGACTACCGGAAATCATCGGCTCCAAAGACTCGCCCATGGCTTTAACCCGACCCAAGAGAAAACCGCGGGCATGCAGGACCTCGTCGTCTATATGGAAGTCGACACCATACGTGGCTGTATTTATAGATTTTGATGCATCGAACTTACCCAGAGACTTGAAGTTTGGCCCAGCCATTGGATTCAGCGCCATTATTGGGGGATAATCTGGGACCCAGGACGGCAGGCCTGTCGTCTCACGTAGAGCTGGGTCCTTGACAACACCCAGAAGAGCCAAACTCCCAGTCGCCTGCAGAATCTCCGTCGCAGCGTTATGGAGCACAGTGGCTGTTTCGAGGGTGTAATCCGGCTGGAGCCTCTGGGGAATGCTGTCGAGACCGTGAATGCTAACGACATGGCTGATTATACCAGTGAGTCCGTAGATAGTATCGCGGCGGTCTCCACAATCGAAACCAACTAGCCACATGAGCAGCTTGAGGAGAACAACGCCAACCATACTCTCCTTGCTCTGACCGGCAGCCACAGTATTCTCGACAATTCCGGCTGTAAAGTCGACCAAATGTAGAACGTCTCTCCACTCACTACGATCCCCTTTACACCATTCGCGGACAATCTGAGTTCTCCCGGTCTGCATGAGGTGCATATCCTGCAACACACGCATTTCTTTCCCACCCGCGACAAGTACGTTGCCAATTCCCACGAGCAGGCCACTGAGGTGCAAGAACAGTGCTGTCGACCCGATTCTGTCAAACGGAACGCTCGATTCACCGCTTATTATCTCGATCTGTCCTGCTAGGGCCACCTCCTGGATCACCCACTGTCTCCCAAACCAGCGGCAACTGAAGAGCGTAACCAGGGCATCTGCGTCATCGAAGCTCAACGGATCAAGTCCATAGGCCTCTTTCATTTCTTCCAGGTGATGGGTGTGGGGATACTTCTGCTCCCGAACGATGGCTTTGCAAGCTATTGAAGCGACGCTGGCTATGCGTTCTGCGACTTGAAGTCCTAGCTCAAGCTTAGCAGAGGGTTTCCCCAGCCAGACAACCACACGGCTGGCACCTCCGAAGATTCGGTCCATGATGCCCACTTGGAGTTTGCGCTCCTGCAAATCGGTTTGGTTGATGCAGAGGGCGTCAATCCAGAATGGCATCTGAGGACAAGAATGGTGGAGCTGGAAGAGGGCGTCGTAGAGATTAGGCTTAACAGCGAATTTGGACCCGTTGAGCAGAATATAGCGCACATCCGTGTCTTCGTAGTATGCGGGATCAGCCATATAAGGGGGGTTCCACGTATAGGAGAGTGCGTAGTATTCCGGCCTGGCAGGACTATGAATCTCATGTTCGCTGAGAGTAAGAGAGGGTTGCTCATTGGAGTCAATGGTTACAGACACGAGACGGAAGGACTCGGTGCCAATAGACTGCGGATACATCTTGGGATGCTAGTGTCACTGAGGCATAAATTATGCCGATCCACAGTCCCTCTTTTAACGTACTGTGCAAGGAATACAAAGAGAAGTTTTGAAATAGCTTATCAGTATCGAACATGCAAAGAGGGGTATTGAGATGTAAGCAGCACTGGGATTTCTGTCTCTTGCTATTGGCTCCGGAACTTCCCGTAACGATTATCCAATGCCGGACACGCCCGCCTGTTTGACTGTCTGTATGACCGTAAACTGCTTTACACTTATTGGTCTACAAGTTGACTTAAATAAGAGGAATTTACCTGGCTGAGCTGTACCAGCCGTAAAGTCGCTGAATTCAGTACAGATTATACACCTCAATCGCTTCTTTCTCATTAGAACACAACGACTGTTCTAGCCTTGCATTTTTAGTATTCAGAAAGCTTTGAATTATAGTCATTTACTCTACAGAAACGCTTTAATCGACTCCACTCCAGCATAGTTAGGCTGCTACGCCTGTTTTGCCATATAGATAATAGCAACTTGAAATCCGCTTGAACAGGTTGGTTGTTGAGGATCTAGGGATAAACAGAGGTAGCAGTCAGGATTTCAGTAGAAGCTGAGAGCACTACTTTAGTAGCTCTTATGTTAAGACAGAAGTTTATTGCTAACCTGAGGTCTGACTTGTGAGCCTCATATTGCTGCTAATAAGAGGATTGATTATTTCTTCCTCTGGCTAACCAAGACATGTAGGCCAATTTGCTTATTAAACCAATAGTTCGAGTATTTCAGGTCCTTGTTTGGCTCAGCTAAGCGAAACTCATAATCTTGGAGGAGAGAAGGAATAAGCTTATGGATCTCGGTAATGGAAATCTATAGTTATTGTTAGCGTGGGTTACATGCCTCAACAACATTAGCAGGTTGGAATTACATTCTTGCCTACACAGGTGCGAGGCCCAGCACCGAAATGCATCAGGTAACGCCCCATTACCTCTGCACCCGGCTGCAGCCATCGGTCAGGGTTGTAGCAGTCGGCATCCTAAAATGCCCTTGTCAAAGTGTACGACGTGCGCACTCATGCCAACACGACTGCCGCCTGGAAAGTACCGCCCGGCGATGTTGACTCCAGCGGGTGGAACATGGCGAGGCATGGACATACCAACGCTTGGGTGAACACGAAATCCTTCTTTGCAGCAAGCGATGAAGTAAGGTAGCTTGATAGCCTCGGAGTAATTGGCAGGGTTGCTTAATAGTCCCTGGGCAGAAGCCTGGTCAATCTCTGCTAACAATCTCTCGTATACCTTTGGGCTTCTGATTATGTGGAACAGAATAGCACGCATTGCGATCGCAGTCGTGTCTGAGCCTGCAAATAGAGACACCCACGCCTCGGTTGCCACGTCGGCCAGAGTAAAGTCGTCTTTTGAACCTGCGATATTGAATAGCTTATCCAAAAGGTCGGATCTAATTCAAGGGTCAGCTAAAACATATTTCTTCAAGCACGGTCGGTTCTGTACTAGCCTTTCGACAGTACCCTTATCGACCTGGCGTTGACGGCGAGCCACTGTCTCCTTTGCGGCAACCACTATATCATCGTAGCCCTTCAGAGCCTTGTGGAGTGGCGAAATCAAGTGGCCCAAGACCTGGAGGGGACGCAAGTAAAAGGGGAGGACACAGGAAGTAGCTACTGCTGGGAGGAGTGTATCCAACGTCTTGATATAGCCTTGATAGTCATGACGGTCCTCCATGAATCCAAACTGCTTTCCGTCGAACAATTCGCCGATGACATCAAAAGCAAACATTTGAAGCCACAGCCCAAGGTCAAAGGAATCGCTTTGAACCACAAACTCCTCAAGGCGAGCCTTGAAAGTCATGATGCAAGCATCGACGTATGACTCTGACTCCAGGATACTACTCAGTGAATATAGATTGTTGACAAATCGGCGGCGCTGGGCATGGATCTTTTCATCCCGCTGTGTGAATAGATCTTCATATGGAGACAAGTGCGGAGCAAAGGTGGTATAAAACTCGGTCTTTGTGAAAACCGGCATTAACAGCATATATCACCTTGAGTGCCGCCGGGTCGGAAATGGAGACTTCGTCGGGCGCCATGCGCACAATAGGTCCTATACATAGATAGGTAAACATTCCTGGCTAGATAAGGCGAAAGTGAGGCACCATACCATATTTCTCGTGTCGAGCCCTCTGAGTGTTGTGAATATCGCCTCGAAGGACCTGGCGCACAAGCCAAAACCGAGATAGCTTGGCCCAAAAGGGGCCTGGGATGTCGGCATATGGATGAAAGTAATAAGAGTAGAATAGTGTCATCATCCATAATGCTACAGTAGAGCTGACCAGTAGGGCCAGCGCTGCCGGGGCAGAGACACAAGTGAATCTTTCCAAGATAACATCAATAATCATGGTGCTTTGATTGCAGCTGCATGTAGTTTGAGTGAGAGGATACAATAAGAAGATAGCCGTGACTTTAACTTATACAATTGCCTGAACATCAGCCTTGCTTCCCATCGTTTTGAGTTCCCCATGTCTGGTTTGAGTTAACCCACATCGTCTCCGATCGGAAGCCGGGTATCCATGGGGAAAGGTAACTTAGTTTGCTGTTAGTGTGAGGGGTGCCTGACCTGTAGGGATCTACCTTGTGTAGATTGTGTCAAATTACTTTCAAGGTGGCGTTTTGATGTTTTAGAAACCGCTCGAATCTCATTTGTGTGGGAAGCGGCCATCCTATATGCCACCCATTCCTACACCTGATACTTGATGAACCCGCCAACGACTGCGTCTGGCACATTAAGAGCTCCGAGTGCTACACTTAGTCCGACATGCGCGATATTGGGGGTATAGTCATTCTAACAAACGTAGTCATGTTGCTCTAGGGAGATTTGTAACATTTCCTGTGTGCTGGATACACCTTGTCGCCTCACACAGTTGTGCCAGCTGGTGATCTATCTCGCCCTACCGATATCCGTACTGAACCAAGGTAGCTACCCCGCAAAGCTGAAAGAAAGACCCATCCATCCGCATTGCCGAGATCCCTCCGGATTGCGGGGGTGGGTCGCCGCTAAGTTGGTAGTCTATGTGGGTATGAATATATGGCCAGGCCCAGGACCCGCGCTCACGCCGACAGTCGATTTCCAAACCCACCATCGCTGTCTGTAAATTCTCGGCCATGTCTTGTTGCGGGCCCCATGTATCCTCGACCACAACTCTCCACCATGCCTGCTCGCTGTGCTCGAAGCGCTTCAAACGTCGGAGCCACCTGGTCCGACACGCTGCCACCCACAGCCAGGCCAGGCCCTTCGCTTGCCGACCGTGTAGCAGCTCCTTTCAGCAGGTCGATGTGCTCCGACGGCATGAGCTGACTTGTCTCCCCGGTGATCGGGTTCCCTCCCGCAAGAGAGCCTGTAACTTCTGCACCCAATAGAAGAAGACTTGCGTTGGTGAGAACCCCTGTAGCAATTGCCGTCGCAAGTCTATCGAGTGCGTCAACTCCAGCCTGGCTGAGCAGAACTCTCATCACCCTCAAGGGTCTGTGGATCTAAATGGCTCTTCTCTCAATACTTTCCAGTCTCAAGATGCCCATGGGTCAGACACCCTGGCCTCCCCTGTATCCTTTGGGGACGCAAGATCGTTCTCGGATCCAGCGAGCTCGACCCTTGCCTCGGACATCTTTTCTTTTAGTCATGCTGGCAATTACCCGTGGTTTGACCTCTTCGATACATCAGGGTCCTTGTCTGAGATCTTCTCATCAACAGCTCAAGCCCCCGGCACATACTCGTTCGACTTCTTGAGTATTTTCACTAACAAAACCGAGTTAATACATTCATTCGACTGTGGGTCTCATCGCGACAGGCTCAAAGTCGTTTCCGAGTTCTCGCGTAACGAGCCTGAGGCTGCAGAGCATCAGTCTCCAGACAACACGATTGATTCCAACTCTTTAGTGTCGGCCGTCAACCAGAATCAAATCACTCAAGAGCCTCTTACTTTGAGAACCTACGAGATTCTGCTCCAGATGAAGAGTGCTTTCGATAGCAAGCCTAAGAATAGTTGCATCACTCAAGAATGGTCTTTCGTAATGGAACAGCAGTGCCTGGAATTCTTTTCACCAAAAAGGATAAGAAAGTATCTGGCCTTGTACTGGGAAATATGGCACCCCAACATAAATTTCATTCATCGGCCAACTTTTGACCCCATGTCCTGCAAGTTGGGTCTGATGGCCGCCATGCTTGTTATCGGTAAGCAGAGACTTTCCTGTTTATGGCTTCAATATCGTACGGTGGTCAACATCGCTCTTATAGCTAACATGGCTAGGCGCTTCGGTTTCGCCAAATCCTTCAGATCTTGACCAGGCAAAGCAATGGTACAGTCCTGTCGAGGAAATAGTCTTTACAGATCAAGAATTCTTAAAAGATAGGAACGCTGAGGATAACACAATACCTTTAGCGTATAACAGCAGCTTGAGTGAGATCCAAGCTATGCAGGCCGCATATCTGGTCTGTATGTACCAGAACTGGGAAGGAACAAACTCCAGTAAGAGAAGAATTCGGAGATATCGTTATAGCACTGTTGTTTCGGTGAGATTTATCCACTCCTTACAATTCAATATCACCACTCACGCAAGAAATAGGTCGCCCGAGACGTTGGTATAAGTACAGCGAGGCATTGCGACTATAGGCATATCACCCCACATGACTTTGTCTGGACGGATTTTATCGCAAGAGAACAGCTTATACGGTAAGCATTTCGGTTTAATGTCACAGACTGGGAATTTTGTATTCTTACAGGTGTCCTGCAGCACATTTCTCTGGATCTTTCTCCTAGATCACGGCTTCGTCATATTCCACAGTCTACCACCTCGCATAGTAATCCAGGAAATGCACATGCATATGGCATGGCCTGAGAGTGTCTTTCAAGCACCCACCGCTCAAGACTGTTTTGAGCAAATGCAAAAATGGCTTCAGCGATGTTCGCTGTCAATATTACCGTTTACAATGCAATCAGAGTCTTCAGCAAGAGCGAGATGACTGAATACATGGTAGGACAGTTTGCTGATCTTGGCCCTCTGAATCTATTTGCGGTTGTGGCTGGTAAGAAATGAGCCTAGGCTCTCCCATCTCTCATTTATGCAAGTGCGCTTGGACAGATGCTAACCCTACCTTGAAAAGCATTTCATTCGCTCCTGTTTATGCAATTCAACTCGTTTGCAAGTGGAAACTGCAAGAGCGTCCACATAGCTCTGCAGAATTGGAGATTCGCCTGGGAGATGTATAAAGAGCAGATATATGGGCACCAACCCCACACAGTCATACGGGAGGGGGAGTACTCGCCAGGGATCAACATGTGGAGGAGAGATGGTTTTATGCGTCATTCAACTGACTTTTGGCTTCTGGCAAGAGTCATGTTAGATCGACTGGAGCGCATGTTGAACGACATGCCCGAAAACGAGTGCATTTCGGTGGAGACAAACTATATGCCTAACTCTTTAAAGGTTGACCAGACAAGTATGCAACAAGTTAATGAGCTAATATTAGAGTTTTACTCTATAAGCTTATATTAGATAATTACTGTTTTTACTGGTTTAATCTATAGTATCTCTCTAAAGTATAAGACTTTTGTCTCTACCTCTTACATCTGTAACTCAGCTTTCAATTATTTAACCTTCCTTAAATCATTTATCTGGAGATATGCCTTGGTTTAGCATAAGCTCAACCCGGGGGCCTTGGTAGTGCTGTTTCGCAAACATGAACCAATTGACCACTGAGAACAATAAGAGAGCCAACAGAACAACGCTGGCATAGTCTTTTCTTCTGTTAGTATACCATCGAAAAGCGAATCAGGTACCTGGAGGGGACTCACTCATAGACAGGGCTGATACGGGGAGGGAGCTGGGAAACGCAAAGAACACAAGCTCAATAACAGCCGCAACAATAGTTCCAAAGTTGCAAATCCACCCAACGAGGTCTGGAACTCGAAAGCCACGGTGTGTGGGAAGAAATGTTGAGCTGCGCTTCTGGTAGATAAGGAGGGCAGCTGGGAAAGCAAATGAGATCATTTGCAAGAGGAGAAATGAGCCAACAAGAGCATTGAAGGCTGCAGTCGAAGCCAAAAACAAGCACCCACATAAGAACACCAGCACGGTGTTGAGGATCAGTGCATTGGAAGGAATCTCCCTAAGCTTTGGTGAAAGTTGAGAGAGATAGTTTGAGAGGTAGAGGCCATGGTCTCTAGCGAATGCCCATATCAGGCGAGATGTCGTTTGTTGGATGGCGATGAGGACAAAGATAACGATGATCGTTAGTGAGACGAGAAATGTTACTCCAGCGGCATCTGACCGTGTTGCGGTGCGCCAAAGCTCAAAAATGGGCATTCTGTCAAGGTCAGTCATGGTTCCCCATGGTTGATGGATATGCTTACGTAGCAGTAAGGAGGCCATCCAGATCAGAGATACAGTACGCCATGGAGACGGCGAAGGTAAACGCCGTGAGAAAGCCTATGCCTATTGTTGCCATAAGAGCTCGCGGGACCGTCTTCGATGCATCCAAGGTCTCCTCGGCAAGATGTAGGGCAGCGTCCAGACCGCCGTACATATAGCAGGGTGTCACCAAACTGGTCATGAATGCAACGCCATCATTCCAACCAGTCGCGGTCTCGAAGTTTGTCCATACCCACTCTGAAGATTGTTTTTTGCTTCGAGATAAACATGTGATGCATGTGATGAAGAAAGTTGACAGAGTGAGGATAACTGCATGGCTCTGTTAGAAAGAGGATATGTAGTTGACGAGCATTGAACGTACATGCGCAATCATGGATCCAGTTTGTACGCTTGAGAAGGAACAAGTTATAAAGGAGGGAAAACAAATTCAGTCCTTGATAGATGAGAAACAAATGCCATCTCTCCGGCTCATAACCGTTAAAGAACTGAGGAAAGCAAACGAGCAACTGGCTCCCGATAAGGGCCACGCTCGCAGCATTAATAGTCCACGACAGCGTTGATATCATACCGCAGACATACGAAAACTGACGGTGGTACCTTTCAGGGGCCAAGATGCTGGTGAAATGATACTGGCCTCCTGCAGTTGGGTATACACTGGCCAGTTCGGCGAGCGTCACAGCAGCGCAGGCATAGAAGGCGCATGAAACGAAGGTCCCGTAGATGAGGCTGACTGTACCGCCTGCTGCGAGAGCGGTGGATAGACTGGCTGCGATGGCGACCCAACTGTTGGGGATGTTGAAACCGATCGCGATTATACGGAGAGGGCCGATGTCGCGGCGGACAGGAGATATCTCGGCTGCGGAAACATCAATAGAGGATCCGGGTTTGTGATTGTCTGCATTTAGGTATTAGGGGCTGCTAGGTGGAGGGCGAGTTGACCTTAATCACTTACCCTTTGACATGTTGCAAGAAGCAAGGCGAGAACTTGGTATTGATGACTCAAGCAGCGGAGGTCTCAGTCCTCTTATTAATTAAACCGAAGTTCTCTCATCATGGACAGGAACGATGAGAGGTTTTAATAATCGACGTTTCGTCTGTCTTAGCAGCAGTGTATCTCACTGATATCTACGCCGAGATATGGGCGCCTTGAAGCCAAAGTCAACCGATTTGCGCTTATCGACTTTGGTATAGTTCATGAGTGTTGGCATTTAAAAAATACGCGCTTATCTCGCTTTGATGTGATTGTATCTGGATGAGATGAATGCGATGCCATCTAGATACAGTGAGCCAGAACGTTGATGCTTTTTCATGATGAAGTTGTGAAGGTATAGCAAACCAATCAAATGCCTAACGATAGCCACTCATGTGTAGCCTAAATGGCACTAACAACCCAGAGAGAGGCGCTACAATGGTTCTATTACAATGATACGCGCTTATCTTGCTCCGCACGGGCGGAAGTTGATAAGCAAGTCCCAAGCCATGCCACCCACCAATCCTAATTTGGGAAACTTAGAACGGCCAAAAAGACGCGCTTATCTTCAGATAAGACACTGGCTCCGACAAAAGATTGGATTGGCTGCCATAGTTTGCGGTTTGCGAGGGGATGTGACACCCATGGCATGAAGTTGCACGATCAGAGGGCCGTGATACAGCATGATAAATCAGTATGATGTCTGTGTTCGTTATATATATAAGGATCATCAAGATTACTTTTTTTCGCTAGTAGCGACAGAAATATTTCATCAAGGCTCAAGAGAATCCTCATCACATTATTCCAAAGCAACTCTCGTACATCATGGCCCCTTCTGTCATTCAAGACCTTTCACCACGAGAGGATTGCATCCCTGTTTCAAAGTACGGTGATGACCGATCTCGCCCCGTGCCGATAGTCAAAGTCTTTGACAATGTGGCCGCCGACTCTGAAGCCGTTACCCAAGCCATTATCGAGGCAGGTGGCTGTGTTATTCGAAACGCTGTTTCTGAAGAGGACCTTGCTGTGATAGAAAAAGATACCAGAAAGTTCATACAAACAGACGGAGAATGGACTGGAGAGTTCTTCCCCAAGGAGACAAAGCGAGTAATGGGACTGGCTGGCAAGTCACCCATCTACATGAAGACCATCGCCATGCATCCTCTTGCTCGAGCAGTCGCCAACAATCTCCTTACGTCCACGCATAGCTGCTGGATTGGATCTGAGTGGAAGACTTTCGTCAGCAAGCCTCAGTTGAACAACACGGTCATCTTCAGCATTGCTCCAGGAGCCAGAGATCAAGACCTTCATAGGGATGACATGATACATCATCACGCCGTCAAGCGCCGCATGGCATCTGAGTACAAGATCGGTGATGATACCGGGCTTGGCTTTTTCGTTGCTGGAAAGAAGACGACTCGCGCAAATGGTGCGACCCGCTTCATCCCTGGTTCTCATCTCTGGGATCTCGCGACGCCGCCTGAAGAGAAGCTATCATTTTACGCTGAGCTTCAACCAGGAGATGCGTTCTTGTTCCTCTCGAGTTGTTATCATGGGGGGTCGGCCAACACCACTACTGATGAGGAAAGGCTTATGTACAGCTGCTTTTACACCAAGAGCTTCTTGAGGCAGGAAGAGAATCAGTATCTTGTTGCGCCAGCTCAAAAGATGCTGGAGACATATGATGATGATACGTTGGAGCTTATGGGCTACGGATTGAGTCCTCCGTTTTTGGGCTGGGTTGATGCTATGCATCCGCTAGACTACTTGCGGGGAGAGAAGTCATTCCGCGACTTGTACTAAGTCGATTTACACGGATCAGTCAGCAGTCAGGGTTAGGTAGTCAGATCAGGAGAGTAGTCGTAAGGTATCAGACGACTGGTATTAAACATCACCCTATACACATCGTAATCCCGCATTCTTTCAAGACCTTTTCCAGCCCGTAAGATCCATAATAACTATCATCAAAAGCCATCTTTTCCCAAAGTAGCTTCAGTGGTTGTAGCGTGTTATCAACAGCCCTCATGTCAAAGGTCGAGTTCAGTATAATATCTGAAAGTTGATCTCGTTGTTTCAGGCACCTCATATGCGACCCAGCTGTCAATATCGGCCACATGACGGTCGTCCAGCATGGGGACTCATATGACATCTTGGCAAAAACGTCCAAGAAGCAAGCCAGACTAGGTTCAACTGCCGCATAAAGCTCCAAGCTGGGTGTATGAGGCCCTTGGAAGGAGGACTCGAGAAAGATAAGACAGGCTTCACGATATAGCTGGCCTGCATACCCAAAGTCCTTGGAGAAACATCCCTGTGTTGGTCGCCAGGCTTTTAGCTCTCCAAGGATGTATTCATATTGCCGGTATGATTTCTGTGAAGGCGCGATCCCCTCTTTGATCCGTAACTTGGCCAGGTCGCATATCAAGGGGATTGTTTCATACACAAGATGAGAACAGCCAAAAAGGCATCCGTAGAAATTGGACCCTTGATTTAGAACTCCCAGTGAAGGCAGCGATAAGGTTTGATTTATCTCTGGATCGAAACGAGTAGATCGCAACGTTATGCTGGAGACAGTGGCGAGGTACGCGTATTGCTCTGCCAAGAAGCCAAACAAGCTTGGTTCATGATGTTTGAGGTTTCGTTTGACCGTTTGAAACATGAATTTGCTCGCGTTCAGATGGTGATACAATGCACCCCTAGCATTCACATCGATAATCTACGACAAGTCAAGTCAGCGTCGTGGTTTTACCATCATCAGTAAGGTTGGCTAACCTCGAACCAGCAGAGGGCAAGGGCTGTAGCCAGCAGCGCAATCTGATCGCGTGTATCAAGAGCCTTCCACCGTGTGACGGCATGTTTCATTGATCGAAGCACAATCGCGTAATGAGATGCGCATGTCTCGGCCATGTCTGGCCTCTTGTATAGCAAGTGAGAAGCGCTGATGGCAAGGATAGCATGTTGCATTATGGTGCTACCGGAAGCAATTTTGAGATTGCAAGAGAGGAACGGATTCTCGGGGTATGTTCTTCCGGCCATTCGTTTTGCTGTGACGTGGAGAAAATGCTCGAAGAGATACCGATTCGTGCCCTTGCGGAGTTGGGCTGGCACAACGATCAGGCTTGTGGTGATTGGGAGCATTGCCCGAGAAGATAGTTGCTCGTCGATATGTGTTGTTCTTGTTGTTTCTCTGTAGTCTGGCTGAGGAGTCCTACGATCAAGAGTCGCGTCTACAGACGGAGACTTGGTCGATGGAGCTGTCCACTGGCAGATCAAATGATTTCTGTCGCACCCAAGGCAAACAGGCCTAGACTCATCGCACTTCTTTCGTCGTTGTCGACATGGTACACAGCCTGTTTTGCTTCGCAAGCCGGAGCCTCTTGCTCCTGGTCTAGGTCGATAAGTCATTGAAAGGAAGAAACTACGGTCGCGCGATGTTGGGCTAGAAGTGTTATTTGCAGTTGAGATTTGTGGCTGTGAGCTTATTCCGGCAGAGAGAACCTAGGTCGCGCGATGGTCGGCAATGGGTTAGGTTAAGATTCATTTCAATTGTGCATGATCCTGAGGGGTATGAGGGAGGGCCGTCTTGGTCTTATTTTAGAAGCTACTTTAAGTGGTCGTTCAATCCGGGGCGATAAGGGGAGATAACGATAGTATGCGGAGAAGGCTCCTTGAGGCTTTAGCTGACCCAAACACAAGCGGTTCACCTGGCTAGACCATATCATAGTCCAGGCGCTAACAGATAGCGGGTTAAATTCGGAGCATCAATCTGAAATACCTCTTTTTACCCCCCAATCTCTCATCTCTTACATACCTTGATGAAACTGCAGCCTCACATGTACACTACCAGAACATTACACATATTGAACTGCCCACTCTCCGAAATCCTATTCCACAGAAATGCCTCAGCACCGTCGCCGAGTAGTATCTTGCCCGACATGTCGCCGTCTCAAGACACGATGCGAAGTGCCAAATGGTTCTGCTGTCTGTAGTCGCTGCAGGGCTTTGAGGTCAGCTTCTTACAGTCATTTCAGCAGTGATACTATTACAGGAAATTCTCATTAATATGACGTGCAGATTACCTTGCGAGCTTCCCCATGATGTGCATCGCGTCACCCAGACATCCATGGTGCCTGATTGTACCGATCCCAGGAGCCCTCCTAGGCTTGTTCAAGCATGTAACTGTGAAGAAAGGTATGCAACTCAAACATTTTGTTTTTAGATCTGGTCTAACCCTTACCCAGGTTTACTGCCCTCGAGGCTGAGCTGGCAGAGTTGCGTTGCGCAGTGCGTGAGCTTAGCCAAAACGCAACCTCTCGCGCACCAGAGGGTCCACAGAGTGAACAGAATATCACAGCCTCGGTCCCCGAGATAACTGTTGTCTCTCATTCAGGCGCCGAGGACCAAACAAGCGCAACTCGACCTGATCCACTAGTCGCTCCAGTTCATGTCATCCGGAAGATGTATACCTGGATCAATGGTAACCCTGAAACGCCAAATGATGTCGTCGAGCTACCCGAGTCCATCGTGGCTCAATTGGCTTCAGATGGACTAGGCTTGCGTCTGATTGAGGCGTGAGTTGATACTTGCAACTGCTAATCTCCAAATTAAAACAATCTCATCCCACCAGTTTGGACCCTCGAGCTGTGCTAATGTGTGCATCAGATCTAGGGAAAACATCCCTCGACTCCATTTCATACAGAGAGCCATTGATGATGCCTTGAGTGGAGAGTATAATCTACTCTCTGTAACCTGCTTGCTGGCGGGTATGCAAACAAATTCTTCCGTCATCAGCAAAGACCTTCACACTTCACTCTACGGCGTCCTAAAGTCTGAGTTGGCAAAGCTCTCGCTCGAGTCTCCTCTAAGTCTACCTTCCCTCTACGCGATGCTTCTTACCTGCCTTCTAAACTTGAGTCTCGGCTTCTCTGATAGTTTCATCGATGCGTGGCTCTTGAGTGGCTCGCTCATCCTTCACCTTATGCTATCGTTGGATTTTCCTACGCTTCAGCAATCGCCCTTGTCATTACGCTACACCGAGAACGATAGAAATCGGATATTGGCATGGAATGCTACATGCCTTCAACATCTCAAGTACTTGATCTAAGCTCTCACCTCATGCACAGCAAGTTACTAACTGGCGGGCAAGGTTTACTATCGGTGTAGGGAAGCTGTCCGCTGTGCGAATAGACCCAGCAGCACATTATATCGGCATAGTCAAGAATACAGAAGGCTTCAGCGAACTCGACAAGGAGATTGTCGCCGAACTTGAGCTTTTTATACTCCTATACCGAGGCATTGTCGAGGGGAGTATCCGGGCAAATGAACTTCAAAGCAACCTCACACAATGGCATGCTGCTAATGCAAAGCGTATGTTAATACTGTAACTGCTCATATTTTTACGTGAAACTGACAAGTCGCAGTGCTTAATCTTGACCATAATCTTAAGTTGAAGTTTGCTCTCTCAACATTTGGCTTACTAGCCAATAGATGGGAATTGTCGCAAAGACAGAAGGGAGACTTGAATAACGCCAGTGAGAATGCGGTATATGAACAGCAGATCGAGTGCATACTAGAACACAGCCACGAAATCATACGCTTCTGCAGGGAAATGACAAGGCAAAAAAGGATTATCCACACTTTCGACTTCCTGATGGGTGCATATGCACACGTCACGCTGGTTGAGTTCTCAGACCACCTCGAGGACATTGACAAGACCTTTCGTCTTATGGAAGAAGTCCAGGATCTTCGAAAGGACACTTATGTTGTTGAGCCAGTTTCTATCTGGGCTATGAACATGATGAGAAAACGGGTTTACGATGCAGCGCGACCAGAGATGAACACGCAAGCAGAGACCTTGCCTGGTTTTGATGTTTGGTGGCCGCCTTTTGAAGCTTTGAGCAATAGGATGGAGTATACCTCAACAGAAGTGAGCGAGCGGGATCAACAGTAGAGTCATTTGGTAGTAGACCATTCACGCCTCAACACCATTATTCCGGTTCAGATGATGAGATTGATCATTCGCGACTTGGGTAAACAAGGAGTATTGATTTAATTAAAGGCTAATAGTGGCTCAATACTTCTTCATGGCAGTCTTCTGGGCGTTGCCCATCTCCTGATCCCCGGAGGCAGCATCAGACGAGTCAATCACGACATTGACATAGGTACCATCATGGCTCTCCACAAAGTCCTTGGGCTCCTTCCACCCCGAGACTTTTGGAATATCCTTACTCGGGAAGAGTGTGTTGATGAGCCAAAAGCTTCCAAACGCCAACAAGAGTCCCACAGGATAGGCAACATAGTAGAACCTCTGAATCCCCAGTGGTGCGCTAACACCCATCTGGAACAGGAATCCATAGAAGTTGGGTGCAATGGCAATCAAGTAGACTGCAAACGCTCTAAGATTAAAGCCATGAAAGAAGTGGTAGGTAGAGTCCTTGTGGCCAGAGTAAAGCATAGGGATGTCGAAAACGCCGCGTCGGAGGAGGTAGTAATCGCAGATGAGAATACCTGTGATGGCGCTGAGGAAGATCTGGTAGGAGCTGAGGAAGTTGATGAAGACGGCTGCGGACGAGAGCAGATACCATGGGCAGATTGCGTATGAGATGACTATGTGAGAAGTGATTAGTCAGTGGCTAGTGGGCATGAGAAAATTCGAGAGATACGTACTTGCACAGATGAAGAATCCACGCTTCACCGTGATGTACTTGGGCATGAGAGCTGCGATATCGTTTCCAGCGCTGCGAAAATTAATGAGTCAGCAGTAAGTTCAAAAGTCTCTGAGGAAAGGGACTGGGCTGGACTCACGGAATGGAGTTCTCAAAAATTGCCGAAAAAACAGTAGAGTAGACATAAGCGAAGGAGATCAATGCACAGCCTGCTCGGTTGGCAGATGTATGACGATCACCCTGCATGAGCATGTCCAGAGTGGTAAGCGGGTTCCAAATGACCTCGCCAAAGATGCCCTTGCTAGCAGCCGCGATCAAGTTGCCAAACACACCAACCAAGAAGTTGGACATTGGGAAACTGAATACTTGACCAGCAATGACATCGGTGGGCTTAGAGGCATAGCGTTGCAGATCAGATGCATTGGAGATGAAGGTACCGCAACTGGCGAGTCCTAGAAAGAAGAACTTAAGGATCAACCAAGACTTCTCAGACCCATGTACGGTAGAAGGTTCAGACAAGGTCTTGCGGACGCTGCCAGAGGCTGATAGTGTCCAGGCCACGAAGGCGATGGTGGCGGCGAAGTAGACGGCGACTTTGATGTGGACGAGCTTTCTCATGCGGGGGACGGGGACAAAGAGAAACGCGCAGTTGATGAGCCTGTCACAACACGGTTAGATTGAGAAGGATTGTTGGTTGGCAGTAGTGGCATACCAGTAGAGGAAGAAGCAGAGCATCTGCGCCGAGTTGAGGGCGGATTTGGAACCCATGATGTCGGGAATGTTTTCGATAGAAGGAAAGATGGCATGGAGAAAGACACTGTAGTGAAGTGCTACGGTTAGTTCGTTCTTGGTTCGACTGTTGGTTGAAGTCAACTTACTATAAACACTGCGCACCCTGCACAGAATTCACACCATTCCAAACAATCGACATAACAGCTCGATTAAACGTCGGCCACAGCGCACCCCAAGTCCCAAAACTCGCTCGACACGCGACAGGGAAGGGAATTCTGTACAATGCGCCAGCACGACCATTCAGCGCCATGAGACAACCAGCGAGTAACTGACCGCCAAGCGAACATGCTAGAGCCTCCCACATACTGAGACCAGCAGATTGGCCAGTAGAAGCTGCGTATAGGTTGCTCACGTTTGCAGTGGCTGCGAACCAGAAAGCAGAGTATGTGATGGATGTCCATGTGCGGTCCTTGACGGGCGTTGGGCGGATGGAGTCATTGTCGAGAAAGTTGGCGGGTTCAGTTGTTCCGTCTGCGCAGTGCTTTTTTACGAGGAGACGATCGTGGGCTTTTGAGAGGAGTGAAGCCATGGTCTCTCCTTTGAAGTAACGTGACGATGGGAAACGCTGGCTTGACTCTGGAGAATTGGAAATGGTTGGTCGTTTTGTAAGTGGAGGACCAGGGTTGATGTTTATAAGATGCAGGATATCCAGTTTAGACCAACCACAAGACTCTATTCAGTAACCCCAGAATCAGAATCTAGAAATGATAAGGTCGGGTGTATTAGACTTGATCCTATTGGCGCTGGTGAAATGTCCGACGGTCGCCGGTCAGGGTAGTTACACTAGTGACGCTGTTATCTGTTCCCCGCAAAAGATAGCAACGTTTATCTGATTGCGTGCCCAGTGTAGCCAATACAATCGTGAGCTCTGTGGATCTTTGAGGGGATCTGTTGGCGATAGGGGAACGGGGAACTCCGCCACGGATGGCCCCGTCGGCAGTTGTGGACCCCCATCTCCGACGGTCTCCGTCTTGTGCCTAACCTACAGCTGAGCAATTATTGCGCAACTTGAAGGACTCAACTGCATCAAGCAATCGGATAGCATCTTATATCAAGTCGTTGATTCCGGATCTCTTACTTATCGAAGTGTTCTAAGCATTGATAACAAGTCCATACGACAACCAAGTTCTCTGTATTGCTTTAGACTCTCAATCATCATCTGTTGACGCTTTTCCCCACTTTGAAGCAGTATCATCTTCAGTAACCTCACCTCATCACTTGCATTTTGCACATTTTGTGACTGCAAGTAACAACCATGGCTACCACCACAATTGAAACCGCAGCCCCCGTCTCGGCGTTCACAACGGTGCAGCTGATGACACCGGACGGACCTGTTTCCCGTCGTGTACGCTGTGGGGCACCCCGTACTCCGACCCTGGATGAGATGCCCGTCATTGACCTCAGCTCGCTTGACGGGGATGCGACCGCGCGCAAGGCCATCGCCACCAAGATCAAAGCAGCTGCTGAGAATACGGGTTTTTTCTACGTCAAAAATCATGGCATTCCTCAAGAATTAATTGAGCAAGCTCTCGAACAGTGCAAGGCCTTCTTCAACCAAGAGCAAGAAGCCAAAGATCGGGTCTCGTTTGAGAAAGCGGGCAAGTTCTGTGGTTATCATGGTGTTGGAAGCACACAGATCAATAATCAGGAAACTAGAGGTAAGCAACTTGACGAACCGCACATATCGATTGACTTACGCTCCTATAGACAAGAAGGAGACTTTCTCCATGCGATATGATACTCGCATCGACCAGACTCATGAATGCACGGATGACATTAACTCCAACTTCTCCTCCACAGATTATGTCTGGGACGGGACAAGCCATCTCACAAAGTTCCGTCCTGTCCTCACCGAGTTCTATCAAAAGCGACTTACCCTCGCCCGTAAACTCATCCGCTTATTCGCACTTGCCCTTGACCTACCCGAAGACTACTTTGACTCTATCATCACGACTCCCGGCGCTGATGCAGTGCACATCCACTACCCCGGCACCGACGGAAACGCCGAAGAAGTCGACGTGGGTATTGGCTCACATACTGATATTCAGTGCGTGACTCTGCTCTGGCAGGATATGTCCGGTGGTCTGCAAGTTCTCTCTGCAGATGATGAGTGGCTCGACGCTCGGCCGATTGAGGGGACTTTGGTCATCAACATTGGTGACTTTTTACAGAGACTCTCGAACAATCGATTCAAGTCGACGGTGCATCGTGTGTATAATCGCCAGAAGACATCTCGCTACGCTATGCCCTTTTTCTTGGGGTTCAACCCCGACGCGGTGTGCGAAGTTCTACCGACGTGCATTGACGAGGAACATCCTCCCCTCTATGAGCCGATTTCATGCGGCAAGGTAAATCACATTCGGTGTCTACAGTAAAAGGGATAGAAACTAATTACTTGCAGTGGCGTGACTCTCGTTTAAAGCTGGCCGAAACTCCGGATAAGAAGGCAGTATAATAAACAGGAGCTAATAGAGCTATTCTAAGAACTCGACTACATGCAATGCCTTTAACGATGTGATCTAAATAATAAACAAAAAAGGGTTTTTTATATTTTCTTAGGAAGAGCAACCCCGAGTATGCTATAAATAGCCTCGATATATGCAGCTGGGGAAGGATGCGCTGTATTCAGCATCCTGTTCATTGTATATGCAATTGTGAGCCTCCTATCACAATCCACAACCACAATCGATCCACCCCATCCGCTACCCCATCCAACCTTGCCGTCCGGCAGCTGATCTTCAACGATCCCAGACCCAGGCCCGGTGAGATAAATCCCAAGTCCGCGCCTCCCGCTCCGCCCCGTGACCAGGTCCGTTCCCTTGGCGTGTTCTCTAAGGGCCAAGTCCACCGCCTCGGGAGAAAGTAGGCGATGACCATTTCCCGCGCATGCACCGCCGAGCGAGTAGCAGGAGAGGATCTTGACTAGTGTCCTGGCGTTTGTGTGGCCGTTGACTGAGCCTAGCACACTGGATCGCCACAGCGCCGTGTTGGCATCCTCAGCTCGGGGCTCGGGGTTACAAAGCGTTCGCGCGACGATGGAGTCTTGTTCGTATCCAGGCTGTTGGCTGAGAAATTCATGGATCGAAGGTCCCGGTGGAGGCACAACGGGGGCCACGCGGTGCCAGTCTTCCTTACGACAGCCAATCTGGAAGTCTGTGCCGACATCCAGCGGTCGACAAATCTCCTCCCTGATGAACTCGTCAATAGACATTCCTGTCTTCCTTCGCACCAGCTCCCCTACAAGGAAACCCTGCGTGAGACCATGGTAGCCCATCTTGGTTCCAGGAGTCCACAGGGTTTTCTGGCGCGCCAACTTGTCAGTTGCCTCCCTGATATCGCAAATGTCCTCCAGTGTCATATCGTCCTGCCACGCGCTGAGACCTGCTGTGTGGGCTAACACTTGGCCGATGGTGACCTCGGATTTCCCATTCTTTTCGAACTCAGGCCAGTGCTGGGAAACCTTATCCCCGGGGCGCAGCACTCCACGCGAGATCAGCATCAGAGCCGCCAGGTTAGTTACCAGCTTTGTGGTCGAGAAGACATTCACCAGTGTATCTTTGCCCCATTGCTGCTTGATCGATGCATCGGCGTAGCCCCCCCATATGTCTACAACATTCTCGCCGTTGATGTTGACGCAAAGGCTGGCACCGACATCTTGTCCAGATGCAGTAAACTCTTGCATCAAAGCGCGGAGGTTGGCGAATTGGGTATTGCAGTACCCTTGAACCTGAGCCATCTTGAAAAATGTGTAGTCGCTATCCTTATTGTTGAATCTTGGCACTAATGCTAAAGGTAAATAAAAAGGTTGTGCATTGTAAGGGTTGCCTGGACCAGGAATGGTGCAATTTAGCTGCAGATAGAGGTGTTGTTTTTAGATGTGCTATTATCGGCTAACGTCACTTTCCCCTCGCCCGAAGAGTCAGACCGAGCGTGCTGAGCGAATGAGGTTATTACTGCTCAGTTAGTGGCTGCCTGGGCCAAGTATGATGGAGCAAACGGTGGGTCTATTGTGTATATCCCAAGCGAATGCGAGGCGCTATAAATAGCAGTACAGCAATATGTCATACCTCCTATTAGTACCTTACTCTTTGCTACCGGCGTACCAGCTATGTATCTCATACAGATATGTTTATAAAATTCATGAAAGGCCACTCACCGTATAGCATACCAGTGAGATGTATAATAACCAGTTTAAGGTGAATTTGTTAGACTTGCTCTTGGTTTGTTCTTTTTTTAATGTTTTACAGCTACGTTTCCTCCGTATTGACTCCTTTAGTAAAGCCCCAGGAAGGAATTTATATTTATCTTTAATTTGTCATTCTAGAGAGCAGGAGGGCGTCTTTTAAGATAGTCTCTATTATTCCCTAATAGTACATTCAACATAGAAGCCGCTGATCAAGTATAAGGCCTCTTCCCCTTAGCTAACAAAGCACCCTCATGCCTCTATGGTGGGCTCCTCGAGATAGATAAGCATTTCGTGATAATCTCCAAGGTCCCTTCCGCATCGACTGTACCACCATTCAATGAACTTCGTATTTGTAGCGTCGTGCTCGGTAGTGGAAAGGACCTCTTAAACAGAGGGTCTTGCCCTTCCATAATTGGTTGAGGCTGTCCAAATTCATTGCTGTAGGTCGCTCTTATATTCCCTCTCCTGTCGGTCCTGCCGTTCAGAGTCTTTTATATTCTGATTATGGCTAAAGGCGCAGCCTTGGTCTTCATATCGACAATGGCCATAAATAAGTAAGTTTCGGCATAGTATATCTTGATTCTTTGGGAGAACGCCGTGGCTGATCTCTCGGTACTGTGTGATGACCTCTCGCGCAATCCTTGATCCTTGGTGAATTGGCGGTGGAGGAGATGGAGCTGGAGGAGCGTCCCTTTCACGACTGTTGGTCCTAACATGGATATGTTGGCGATCGCCGACAGAAGGTAGACGAGGAAGTGATTGATTCCGCTTCCTGGGTGGCGAGCTCTACACTTTTATTAGTAATGTATTTCATATACTGTCTGTATTGAAGCTTTACTTACCTGATTACCAGAAGTGTCATTATAGTTGTGGACAGGCTTGAGATCCTCTAACAGTTCATTGAGACCCTTATCCCTCTGGACATGGAACTGCGGCGGTGACTTGGCCCGCCGTCTGTCTTTCTTGCGCACCCACTCATACTCACGCTCACCACTTCGTGTCGGCGTCTCATTTATTAGAGTCTCAGCCCGTTTCTCGCGGATAGTTCTAGTGTGCTTCCACATCCGATCTTGTTCCCACTCGGGCACCCACCTTCTGATCAAGACGTAGTCAGGGTCCGCGTCGAATTCGTAGTTGACATCGTATTCCCGCAATGTCTCGAGAGATAGATGTCTGCGAGACATGCGAGTATAAACCGGCCGACTATCCTGTGAAGCTGACTCGGCTTCGGCGGAGGGATCAATGGAAAGTTGCTCTTGCTCTTTCATTCCAATTCTGGCTTTCTCAGCCGTTATTCTCGCAAGCTCCTGTCTCTTGTACTTCTCAACAGCCTCTATCGCGGCTGCCTCCCTCTCAGCTGTGGTCATCATTCCCACTTCTTCAAGGGTGGCACCAGCTTGTGTCATTACGATGTCGAGGGGGATGTCTTCGAGCTTCCCCATTTTAGCTAGCTCGACTACAGGCTGATCAGACGAGATAGTAGAGGCGGCTGGCGGTATGTGAGTATCGCCAGCGGCGGTGACGTCGCCTTCAGCATCGTATCCAACAGCCGTAGCATGTGGAAAGCTTGATTCCACCTGGTTATCTATCTCGCCAGTTTCTAGCTGCTCATCGGCTTTGGAAGACGTGTCACTCGATTCTTCGGCTGAAACAGCTCCTAGCTCAGATGCTTCATCATTCTGCTCATCACTCTCGATGTCATCCTCGAGCTCCTCACCTCCGATCTTAGGAAGAGCGTGCAGAGCCAACTGTTCAAGGTGCCGCCCAACATGCTTGACGTACGACTTCAAGCCCGAAATAGCTCGTCTGCAAAGAGGGCATTCTTGAGCGACATCATTGGACACAGATACCTCACCGCGAGCCACGACGGTGGCGAGATGCTCATCGCTTGCGCTGGGTATATGCTGGTGGCGAATGTGATTTCCGAGCTCAACTGCGGACAGAAACATGCCCTCGCACTTGAATGGACAAGACCATGTGCGCCAGTGATACTGGGAGACGTGGAGTTGCCACTGGCGTCGTCGATCAAAGTCGGTATTTGATTCGGCACACCGTGAGAAGAGACAAGTATACGGACGGAGGTCCCCAAATACGTGGCGTCTATAAGTAGTGTTAGATATAAACGGAATAGTGACAAAGTGGCACTTACTTCCATGCCCCTCGGGAACTGGCTGATATCATCCTGTAACAAAATGGACATTCAAAGACCCCCTTGTCTGCCTCAGGTGGTCGCGGAGGGACCTTGAGTGGAGGAGCAGGCTTCATCTCTCCATTTTCCATCATCAAATAGCCAGCCGAGGTAGCATACGAGGTCTCAGACATAGCCATATCAGACCGATTATCCTCATCAATCACCCCAGATCCCTTGAAGTGCTCTGGAAGAGAAGACGCCACGGTATTCGGTACGATCTCTGTCCGACTTGTATCCCTTTGAGTCTCTTGATCCAGGCCTGCCGCCAACTTGGCATGGTGTGACTCGCGGTACTTGAAGAATTGGCGTCGACGTGTGATGAACTTGCCCAGGATATCAGCTAAGCTTTGACTGATATTTGGGAACTTGTCTTGGACGTAGCGGACGTCATGTGCCTCGTAAAAGGATATGTCCTCATCGGGGCCGGCGCCCAGCTTACGGAATCTCTCATGCGGTGCTGGGTTGGCTATGGCTAGGGAGAGACGTAGAAGGCAGTCGATGGCCTCGGCGATATCGGTGCAAAGCGTCGATAGTCTTGTTTCTGGCGTACGCTCATCTTTATCCAGGTCTGAATCGGTGAAGCTGTCTTCGCTGTCTGGACTCGCAGGCAGATACTCCGGCTTATCCTCGATATCTGCACTGTCCTTGGGGGGCTCCTTTCTTGGCATCAGGACTCTTATATCCTCTAGTGATTCCAATATGTCCCGCAGAAGATAGAGGACCTGCTCTTGTATATGGGGTGCCTCTCTCAGCCGATGATCCAGCGATGCAGGGCCACTCTGATGAGCTCCTAGGTTCCCAGCCCACATCTTGAAGCGGACGTTCTCATTCTCCAAGGATAAGGGCAACTCACGCAGACCGTCAAACTCGACCTTTTCATCCAGATAATCTATTTCATGGTTGAGCGACGTTGCAACGGTCCGGAAAGAATTGAGGACGTTTCGGACATTGTGCGCAATTGGCATTCGCTCATGGTTGCTGTCCATGGCGATGAATTGCCATGGGTAAGGCCAGGCGACCGAGAGAGATATAAAGGCTGGTTGTCAGCAAGTAAGTGCTGTTGCTTTTTGCTACGATCGGCCTTGAGCGTACAACAGAGACTCAACACGATGTTAAATCCAGTGAGTCCAGTTAAAAGCTCATCAGAACGGGCTCGCATTCATTGCCATTCTCAGTATCGTGCGGGGTTTGCTTGAAAGCGGCTATATCATTGGACTGGGCCATATGCAGGTCGTAAGATGGCCGCTCCGTCAGCCTCAATAACCGCTCACAGCCTACAGGGCTCTCCGCTCTCCGTTCTCTCAATCAACAACGCACGAAAACCGCGGGAATGAGAAACAGCCGATGTCTGGATTCGAGATCGCTGGTATAGTCCTGGGGACACTTCCCCTCGTCGTCACAGCCTTGGAAGCCTACAGCAACTTCTTACGCGATTGGGGCAAGGCTCCGGCGGAGCTGAGGAGCCTCAACCGACAATTATCCACTGAACGGGTGAGACTGTGCAACGTCTGCGAACAGCTCATCAGCGATATTGTATCGCAACGAGATATTGAGCCGATGCTTCAGGATCCATTTGGACCTCTCTGGCAGGCCAAGGAGACCAACGACAGGATTCGGCGTAGGCTATGGGACTCGTACACCCCGTTTGAAGACACGGTCAAGGAAGTCGGAGAAGCCTTGGACAGTGTGATGCTGCGGCTTAGAATTGACGTATCATCCGATGGGACGGTGAGAAAGCCTGTTCTTTGAATGAGCAACTAGTAAACTGACACCATGTAGGTCCAATGGATTGACCGCAAACGAGTCACTCGCGATTTCAAGAAGCTGCTTTACCGCCTGAACAGAAAGGACTATCAAGAAGCTCTAGAAACCATCTCCAAAGGCATTACAAGTCTTGAGGGCCTGACGCAGCAGAGCGTTGGCCTTGAGCCCAGACGCCGGAAGCAGTCTCGATGCAAGGTGTTCAAGGTCTTGCGGGACCTCTCAGCAAGCTTCTATCGAGCTTTATGCTCTAGCATTCTTTGTACCGATTCTCACGACGTCAGTCTCGAATTGGCGACGCGATTCATAGAGGTTGGGCATGAGTGCGACGATGAGAAGATCATCCAGGATGCTCAATTCAGACTAGCTATTTCCTTTGAAGTTGCCAAAGGCCCGACGAGCAAGATGTTCTGGGATGAAGTCAATATCAAGGCTATTTCCGTATCAATGGCCGTGCCGGCCGCGACATGTGTTGTGGCTACCAAGGCTAAGAGTTCGAAGCGCGTCTCCTTTAGCATTGATCGGGCGCTATCTCGCTTGAATCTCACGGAAACTGCTACGGAAGTCAAGCCCAACGTCAAGACTGCCATGGCGATCTTAGCTCGCCCCGCTACCGACATTGCTTTTATCAAGTGTCCTGAAGAAACCAGCACCATACCGACGATAAGCCCTCTGGACCTTTGTCTGGCTCTGAAAAAGGCCCACCAGGAGAGACCTGCTTGTTACGGCCACTTGATTGACCAAGAATACAGCCACCGTCACTTTCGGGTATGCCCGCTCGGACCGGTGATTGACAGCGATGGTTGGTCGATAGTGACACTCGAAGATGTTCTTGAGGGCAAGCAGGGTCTTCGGCCATTAATATCGCTGGCGGAGAAAGTCAGACTGGCACTCGTCATCGCCTCCAGTGTGCTGCAGCTGAGCAAAACGCCCTGGCTTCCCGATGCTCTAACGCCAGGCAACGTGCATTTCTTCAGACGTGGAGACACGCTCTCCTACGAGCATCCGTTCCTACAGAGGAGGCTGCCTGAGTGTTCACTGAAGCGCCTCAATAATACTGCGGACAGCAGGGGCAACTCTTTATCGAGCAACCCAACGCTCCTTGCACTCGGCATGCTGTTACTGGAGATTATTCTTGGTTCCTCACTTAGACAGCTACAGATACAAGATGAGAAGAGTCTTGATGGTGATAATGATGGCCTAATTCAGGACCTGACTGTCGCAAATCGGATGCTGGAACAGAGAGTGGCCTGGATCAACCCGGCGTATAAGGCAGTGGTCGAACGGTGTATAGGATGTACGGATTCTAAAGAGCTTGATGAGGATGACTTTCGACAGACGGTGTATAATGGTGTTGTGATGGAGCTGGAAGCCATCTGGGAACACACAAAGCTTGGAATGTGAGCATTATCCATCATCTCAGTACTTCACTCTCACATTAAGGACAGTCAGTAGATGGTACTGTAGAAGAATTGCTATTCGCATATAACAATAGTGCGTTTAAGCCGCCGACTGAAGATGCTACACTAGAAGAACCTCTAGTGCATTTGGCTTCGGCAATGAGATCATGCGTGCTACTATAGCCATGCGGGACGAGATCAACGAGGAGATAACAGAGCAACAAATATCGGGTACTGAAGCGGGTCTTCAGGTTAAGCGACGTGATCGTGCCTAAATATAGCAGCACATAAAGACTGGGGGCCATAGCTGTGCAAGCACTCTCGAGGCGGGGTTAAGAGGAACCTGTGTCCTTCATCATATGACGAACAACAATGCCTGAAATAACTACCCAATCACCAGATCCCCAGCACCAGTCCACATTCACCAGGCTTCTGCCTCGCGAAATCCGAGACAAGATCTATCTTGAGCTATGGCGCTCCTGTGGTCTCCGCCAACACATCATCTGGCATCGTAACAAAGATGGCAAAGCGAAATCTCACTTCTGCCGCTGGCGATGCACCACGTCATTTTCTGTACAAGACGAGCTCCAAGAAACGATTGATACCACAAAGATTCAACTCGGTATCCCACTGGGGGGTAGCTTCAGCAATAAGGCTTATGCCCTGCAGCTCTATTCTGCTTGGAAGAACCACTTCGCGTGTGGTCAGCGCATCGCGGAGGTCTATGGAGAGGGTGCCGATCCTGGGATTCGAACGTGTTCTTCTCTAGGGCCATGCTGGAGAAGCCATAGCTTGAGCTCGGAGAAGTTGTCGACATGTAGCGCATACATGAGTATGCTGTTGTCATGCAGGGTCTTGTAAGAGCCTGATGCGTAACTCTGCGCATGTAGCTTCCTTGCTGATAATTAGCCCGCAGATCCTCGGAATGCCTCAAGTCAATTTATGAATCGACTACTTTTATCTTCACAGACGTTTTTGCTCTCAACATGTTTGTCGGTTTCTGCAAGGTGCCAGACCTATGGAAACAGGAGGTCGAGGGAGCCATTTCGCCGCCAGCCTTTCGCACCTACGGCAGACATCTTGAGATATCGTTAGAGCCAGTTTTCCCTATGCTGTTACCCTGCTCATCGCCCACTCTATCGCCACTGCCCGGAGAGCGTCACACATCTCTCGATTTTCATGGGCTTCGCCTCGATATTTTGGAGAATCTCACGACCCTGAATATCTGGGTACCCGCCCGCTGCACGGAATTATTGCTAGACAAAAATGCAGATAACATCGATCAGAGCCCCTACAATATCACTCAGTTAGACTTTGAGTCTCTCAAAGAGGCCTTGTCATCCCTCAATCACGTGAGAAACGTCACTTTGAGTATGCCTCTGACCCAGGTGTCTGAGCCGGAAGACGGTTATGTCGTTGATGATGCACACCTACGAATATGGCGAAGGGGTGCGGGGGTTAGATTCCATCCATCTTTATTGCCAGTGATTGAGGTCGAACGCTTGAGTAGTAATGTTTATTCGAGCACAGATAGGTATGTCAACTCATTTCAAACAGCACGATACCGCTGACATACTCGGCAGATCGGTTAAGCTGGCGTATAATCCACAATCAGAAACCAGCGTTCATTATTCAGTACTTGACACTCCTACGTTCAGTGAGGCGGTACCGTCACGACGTTGGGGTGTAGCTCGACTGGTTGATAGAGTACGTGCTAAGAGTATGAGAATGAAGAGAAGTCGCAATGTATAGTAGTTAGATAGGAGTACTACTATGGGAAAGTGCTGAGCTATCGTACCCCTGTTTTATATGCTGCTTGAGGTTTGTGCTGTAGACTTTTACAAACATCTAGACCTTCCAGGGCGTTAGCGGAACTTAACGTCAGACCATCGCGTAGACTATAACGAACTCAAAGTCGTTTCAGTGGAAGTATTTCCTGCGAATGTCGACCTTTCCGGCTGTCGCCTGGTTGATGGAAGGGCACCACCCTGAGAAATTGGTACGAGGTAGGTAGAAAGATATGTAATGCAAAACGTATTTGAGACTACGCCGACAGCTCCCACGAGAGTTACTATAGATATCTGAGATCTCATGATTTTGAGCGGTGATGGTCAAAGAGTGTAAAGATTTAGAGAATGGAAAGCAAATCACTTCTGTGACGGGCCTTGTTAATTGTATGAGTTTTTTCCAGTAAGACAAGGGGCATCCCGTGTATCGGTTGCCCTGCATATTGTTTCCACAGTAATGTGTACTTGTCTCGATATCTCAGCCATCCGTTGTAATATAAATGTATAGTAGAGTAAAGGTTAAAACATGTACTAGACGTGGTATTTAGAGGCGTTAATTTTTAACCGATTGATTGATAGCCAAAGCTTATAATATCTCAGCTAGACCCATCAAGCCAACACGCTAAAACCTTGCAATTGGCTTCAGCTTCTAGACCAGAGACTGATAATTGTGTTAAGCTACTTTCAGTTAATGGACCTGACAGCGGATGCTAACATCACGCGCCTTACACGCTGATGCTTGCATTACACGGCTTAGTTGTCAATCATCAATCGTGTGGAGAGCAAAACCGTTCTAACAAAGCCTCGACTCTGAAGGGAGGAGTGCCAACTCGGTAGTCGGCCTAGATTGAGACATGTCATAGCTATACTAACCCCCTACAGTGTTAGTCATTCCAGCCATACACGGACCATCTCATTGAAGCATTTAAATGGATGTAATATGAAGGTAGGCGTCGTAAAATGGCTCAACTTCTGCAGCCTCAATTCCTTCCTTATATAGTAAAAGAATTAAAACCTCAGCAACTGGATTGATCAAGAAACTGAAAACCGGCTAAGAATTCTAGCCCAGTCTAGAATCATTAGAGCTTTTTACCTTGCATTAGTCTTTACAGATAAATACTAAAAGTAGTAATTCTACTTTAAAGTAGTTTAAGTCTAGAGTACTCAGGGCTTGGCAGGGGGAATGTAAACTGTAAATAAAATAAAGCTTATTTAAAACTTAACTTTTAGTTTCTTAAAAAACTGCTGACTTTATCTCTTTAGAATACTATAAAGCAATGCTATAAGATAAGAGTTTATTTATATTTTTTATTGTTTATTTAAATAATACCCTTCATCCTTAATCTTATATCCTTATAAGTCTTCTATCTATAGGCATTCTAAAACGAACTAGCTAAGATGAACTTTTTACTTCTTTTCTCTCTCTTTTGCTTTATTTGGGCTGTACCCATGGAAGGCTTGTCTGACGTGACCCTGGACAAACGCGATATTTCAGACCTTATAGCTTTACATTCCCGACACGATGGCAAGACCAGAGAGCCAAGGGTCTCTAAATTATACAACCTGACGGCCTGCTCAGTTGCCGTCATCGGTCAAGGCTCTGGGGGCAGCAAACCATATAATCAAGGTGGAATACTGTATATTATCGAGGGGGGAGTGAACTTAACTAAGACTCAGAATGGCGCTAACTTAGTAGATGCCTATTTTACTACTACGGCACTAACCTTTATCTAATACGCCAGCAACCAGATGCTGATGAAGCTACCTTAGTCTTCGGGGCCTAATGTCGACTTGGCAACTGTTATTTCTAGTCCTGCTACTAGTGGATAGTCTATAAAGACCAACTATGCAAACATCAAGCAGCCTTTGGTCAATTCACCGCTCAAGTTTACAGCTGAGATGAGCACTGGCACTGGTGGGTATAAGCCCCCTGCAACTTATACCGCGGGCCCTATTTCATCATTATCGTGGAGTTACAGACGCTCATCTCCAGGAAATCCCAACGGACAGGTTGTGGGCTCATTCACTGGATACTACGAGCATTACCTCCAGTGCCGGCTTGGTCGCTATGTCGGTACATTCTCTGGGAATTGTCGGACTGCTCCTTTCCGTTTCGACTGGTGAGATTTAATTAAGTTGGCTAGGTGAAGTGATGAAACCTGGCTTGTCAACATATTCTTTTAGTCTTCGATAGTTCCAAGTAATCTCCTAAGAAGGGAACTGATAGTATTTAGTTTATAAGTAGTCTCCCTTATGGATTCTATTTACATATATCAATAAATGACCCCTGACTCTCTTATCGCAGGCTCGCACTCTTAACTTACTTCCCCTTATAATAGTACCCAATTTTATAAGGTCAACACCTTTACTTAACAGTATCTAAGATTGCAGGGCCAATAACACCTCGTCCACCAACGTCCTCCACTAAATCATACTTCTTGAGCTTGGCTGGTCGACCGGCAATTAAAGCCAAGATGAATTCGAATGGGAAGCCCCGCAGAAGTGTATCATCGGCTGACTCCTGCTGCAAGTATTCCGCAGCTAGTTCGTTCAACTGATCGAAGAAGAGAACGCGCTCATAGGGCAGTTCCAGTACATGAAACATATCTTCCCCCTTCTCAGCGAGCCTGTCTGCCTCCCAAGCCTCTTGTGCTTCTCTAGACGGAAGTTTGATCCTTCCAGACCAGAACAGGGCCACCAAAAAGGCGGACTTCTCCCAGGTCAGCCAGGTCAAAGACGCGTTGACCACGCCGACGAAGGCGATGGTACTAGGGTTATGTATGTCGAAGATGTGCTGATACAGGCCAGGCACGCGGTGGCCGCCGGGACCTACAGGGGGGCGGACGTTCGAAAGGAAGGAGTAGGTATAGAAGTACCCCGTTGCAAAGACTACCGCGTCGATGCCGTGCAAGACAGATCCGTCATGGAGATGGATCGTGTTTTCAGTGAAACGGTCAATGGTGGTCACGAGCTTAACGCCAGGCCGATCAAAGACGTTGGGACACCGGGGGTGCGGTGTCCTCTGGCATACATGGATATCGCCCCTGACATGAGGTAGAGACTGAAGAACCAGATCTATGGCGCTCTCACTGGTACCGATCACAAGGATGCTCTTGTCCTTGAACTCCTGTCCCGATCGCCAGGTGGAAGCATGTTGCAGGTCTCCCTTCCAAGTCTCGTGGCCGGGTATCTTGGGGACGCGAGGGACGCTGTTGTGGCCTGTGGCCACCACGAGATGGTCGAAGTCTTCTTCGTACCAAGTATCCGTTCCATTGGCATTCTCCTGGCGTAGGAGTAGCCTCACGCCGCCTTGAGGGAGGTTTTGGACATCCTCTACCGTTGTGCTGAATTGAGTTATAGAGCTGTACTTCTGGGTAGCCTTCGCTACAAAGTCTGTGACTTCAGAGACACTCAGGTAGTGTTCGTTGTTTGCCGGGGGTGGAAGGTTGAAATCTGTAGCACCTCCCATTACCTTGTACGGAATATTTGCTTCCAGGGAGTCGTAAATGGGAGACGAGAGGAAGCACTGTTGCGTCGAACGGGGTAGATCCAGAGGGAACGGGCTGTTGGGACGCGGAAGAGGTGGATTGATGTCTGAAGGTTCCGCTGCTGGAAACTGTGGAATGGTTGTGGATACAGGATCATATACCCAGACACCACCCGGGACGCTCTTACGCTCGAAGATCTGAAGTTCAAAACCACCAAGCCGTTGGAAGGCAGCTGCCGTGACAGTACCACTAATTCCAGCACCGATGATAGCAACCCGCTTGTTAGGAGTCTCTCTGCTGTTCTTTGCTGCATCGTTGGCACCATCCTGTCTGATTGCCTTTGATTCGTCTGTATCAGGCCTATCACTGTGACCAGCTTGAGATTTATTTCCCTCATACTCCTCAAAGTTGCTGTAGGAGGTGTATCCGGGTATAAAAGGTGTCGCGGTTGTATGGACTGAGTGGTTGTCCTAGACGAAGACGTTGGACGAGATCGGGGTTGGAGATGAATCGCCGGCCGTATGAGACAGCGTCGGCCAGGTCGTCTTGCACAGTTAGAATACCAGATGTAGCAGTGTATCCTCCGTTGCCGACGAGAACAGTAGGTGTATGACGTGAGTTCGAAGGAGCAGTATCCCTCAGAAGCCGTCGGAACGGTCGAAGAGAGATATCTTCTGGGGCAATTCCTTTGGCCACAAGGCGTGAGAGGTTCTCAGCAATGCCGAGGTTGCGCGATACGCGGCCCTCTCCGACATGCAAGTATGCTATACCTCGACGAGCAAGCTCACGGCTGAGATGGAGTAATTGCACTAGGGGTTGCGAGCCGTCCGTTTCGTGGAAGCTTGTTGCCATACATTAGCTGAAGAAGGAGATTCTGACGATCATGAGGAGTATATACTTAGAAAAGGGGCTCACTCGGACTCCCAAACGCTGATAGCCTACTACTTCTGCGATAGCATCAACCACTTCTAGAGGAAAACGACTCCTGTTCTCGACTGATCCTCCATATTGATCATCGCGTTGGTTGATGTTGTCGTGCAGAAATTGGTCCAGGAGGAAGCCATTTCCGGAAAGAATCTAGCAGGCACTGTTAGCAAACCTGTCTGTCACTGGCCAAGGGGTATTTCTCACACACCTCGACTCCATCGGCTCCAGCTTCGACGGCCAGGGCGGCAGCGCGCTGAAAATCGGCCAGGATTTCTTTGATCTCCTCAACTGTCAACGCGTGCGGTACTCCGAATGGTTCTCCGGAGTGAGTATTCACCCCAGTCTCAGCAACAGCCGAAGAAGATACCGGAAGGTAGCCGTAGGAGGGGGGTCCTAGACCAGCTTCCTTGTGGGCGTGTTTGACAAGACCTGGCGAAGTGCAGCGACCCACGTGTGTGAGCTGTTGGAACCAGAAACCGCCTTTCTTGTGGACAACTTGGATGATATCAGCGACAGCAGCCTGGTGCTCTTTTGTCTCGAGGGTCGCTGACCAAGGCCAAGCCTTTGATTTGAGAGAGACACCAGTGGCTTGAGAGATCATGAGGGCTCCTGGAGTGGTACGCTGCTCGAAGTACTTGACGGCCAAAGGGCTTTCAGTGGAATGAGCAGCGCGAGATCGTCCCAGAGCCGCGTGGACGACTCGGTGCTGCAGCGTCAAGTCACCGACCTTGAGGGGGGTGAATATTTTGGCATTCTTTGTGTCGAAACCAGCAGGGAGCGGTTCGGCATTATCATCGACATCCGTGAAGCCAGTAGTTGGGCCACGGGCATTCGCCTTGGCGACGAGGGCAACGGGGTCATCTGTAGCTGCCATTGTAACTCAAGAGCCGAGACGACAAATGATTAAAAGTGGTGATGGGTTCTATTTGCAAGAGAAGCTGGGCCCTATTGGTTTCTATGGTCATAGTAATAATGGTCTTATTATGAGATATTATATACATTGTATTTTCAAGTACTTCTTGCTTCTAATTGAGACATATTCTACAAAGCGCGCAGATTGCTAATCGAACCTCTGGAACTATAAAGGATCACTCCGAGATAACGGCGAAGGGCCATTATGATCATTGCACCATACAGCCTTAAATGACAATAGGACCTACATGCATATTAGCCAATACAGACGTGGAGACACTAATTGCTCTTCAGATTATCGGTCTCGGTTAAAAAGTTGCTTTATCTCAGAGTGTAGAAAATGATCAGTAAACAAAACAAACGCGGGTCGGGCTACATGACATAATCGCTTAGGTGCTATACGTCGGGTTTGAAACGGGGATTAGTGAACAAGCTTTGTGTCTTTCGGGACAGTGATAAACCTTCCGAGGAGCAAGGCGACGAAAACACCACCGAAGTCGGGCAGAGACGATTGTGTGATGATCATTGGAAAAGACGTAAGAGCCAGTAGCCTCTATAGTCCAAGAGCAGACCATCTCCGGTTAATGTATCCAGTTGCTCAGCCTTGACAGGAAAGGTCGAAATGTCTGCGGTGATAGGAGTGTTTGCCTACAGATTGCGACATCATGAAGGAGTCAAAAACTGTAGCTCTTTATCAGAGTCGTGTATATAAAGTCTCTCTTGTCGTAAGATATGCTTCTCAGGAATAAGCCACATTCACCATTGAGACAACAAACAGCTCCTTTCAAACCATCAATTTGCATCTTTAGCTTGCAGCGCAATCCAAGCAATGGCATCAGTTTCGGCTCAGGAAAAGCAGGAGACGGAGATCGTGGCCGCTTCGACTCTGCCCATTAAAGTGGACGTCGATACTCCCGAAGTTGCTGTTAAAGGTGAATGAAGCGACCTTAGGTTGCACGTGAGATTAGCTAACATCTAACATAGATATCAAGGGCGCTGATCCTTCGGACGATGTTGCTCGTCAGTACTATCTGCAGAATAGGGATGAAGAAATCTCTGACGAAGAGAAAAAGCGCGTTCGTAGAAAGATCGACCTCTATCTTCTTCCGTGAGTACTAACATCTTATCTAAGTAACCAAGGCTCGGCAGTTGCTAACAACTCAACAGGATGATGATGGTTACCGGGTTCCTGCAGTATCTCGACAAGTCCACCATTAACTACTCTGCCAATTATGGCATGAGGGAGAGCCTCAATATGGTAGGAACCGACTATTCTTGGGCCAGCTCCATCTTCTACTTTGGCTTCCTGTTCTGGCAGTATCCTTCTTTACTGCTTCTTCAGAGGCTTCCCCTCGGCAAGTACTTTGCTTCGCAGGTGATGGCATGGGGCGTCCTCACATTCCTAATGGCCGCCTCGTCTAACTTTGGTGGGTTTGCTGCATTGCGCTTCTTACTCGGCGCTGCGGAATCCATTCAACTTGCAGCCTTCTTCATTATCACCAACATGTGGTACACACGCGAAGAGCAACCTATCCGCCTCATGGTGTGGTACGGAATGAGCCCCATTGCCATCATCGTAGGGTCTTTGTTTGCATATGGTATCGGCCATATCGACTCTAGCATTGGGCTCTGGAGGTTCCCGTTTATCATCTGCGGTGCCATTTCAGTTGCATGGGCGGTGATTCTCTGGTTCGTCCTACCATCTAATCCCGCTAGCGCCTGGTTTCTCAACGAACGCGAGCGTGCTGTGGCCCTGCGGAGAATAGAAGATGCCAAAACTGGCGTGGAGTCCAAGTCGTTCAAGATGGATCAGGCCATCGAAGCCCTCCTGGATCCCAAGGTCTGGTTTGCTATCCTTTCTACAGGAGCAGGAAACATACTCAACGGCATCGGTCTGGTACGTCGCCCTGCACTTCACTTTAGTCCGCGTGATAGATCCAGACTAACAGTGACCCATTGGCTAGTTTCAAAGTCTCGTCATCAGAGGCTTCGGCTTCACACCCCTGCAAACCGCCCTCCTGCAGGTCCCTACTGGTGTCATCGAGATCGTCGGCCTCACCGTTTTCTGTACTCTCGCCTCGCGCATCCGAAACTCGAGGCTAGCACTTGCTAGTCTAGCCAACGCCTTGGCCATTGTCAGTGCTTCCATGCTGTACGCCTTCGACGTGCACCAGCGCTGGCGCCTGATGGCTGGGTATGTAATATTGCCAAAAGCGCTCGGCGAATGCTTAGATATTACATCAACTGACGAATCGACTTAGATTTTGGGCTATTATGGCTTTTATCCCGTGTGGCTTCTTGCTCGGAATAGGCACTATCTCCGGAAACATTGCCAGTCATACCAAGAAAGTGACAGCTCAAGCCATTATGTTTACCTGTTACTGTTGTGGGTGTATGTAGCAGCCTTTATCGTCAATCTGGCTGTAGAAATCTGTACTGACTTGGTTTAGGCATCGTTGGCCCCCAGCTATATACCACTCCTCCTTACAAGCAAGGCCTCAGGGCCAACATTGTCGCTTTGGCTATCAGCTTGGCTGCTGGCATTTTTAACATCGCGTATATGCACTTCAAGAACCGGAAGAGAAAGGCGTTCCTAGAGGAGAATAGGCATCTACTCAACGAAGATAATTACCAGTTCCGCGATCTTACGGATAAGCAAAACCCCTTCGTCTTCAACGTGCTCTAGATAAGGAGGATAAGCGTCACCAGGATCTAATTATGTCTCTTAAAGAGTCTTCGGATCCATCTTGTCTCGCCGGGTGCTTTACAGTATCTTTGTCATTAACAGCCTACAAGCATACTTGGGTTAATAAGTAGTCTCCCTTATAGTTAGATTTTATTTAAACATAACAATAAAGGCCATCTGGCTCTCTCGTCAGATATTTCGAGTCTAAACTTGCTTCCCGTCAAGTACCTCATGAAATATCTCAAAATTGCCCTCATTCTTTGGGTCAAAGACCGCAAACCAGACTTCTCGCCACCAATTTCCTGAAAACTCATCTTCTCTCAGCACCTCCAGCCAGCAATGGGCAATGTCCTCTGGCGGGTTACCGTAGACTCCACAGCCCAGAGCACCCAGAGCAAGCATGTCATGTTTGTGCTTCGCCGCCATGCGCAAACAGAGTCTCATCTTGGCCTTTGTGACATCGCGGTCTCGATCATTGGCAAAGACGCGCTTTTCGAATACTTCAGAACTGGATCTGCGCATTCTGTCTTTGCGCGGCTTGTTGGTGAAGAGACGTACTGGTGGACTGCGTAAGGCTGCCACAGTCAGGGCGCTCACCACGGGAAGCTCTCTTGCAGGGAGTTGTGATATCTCGTGGCCTGAGGATAGATCATCACGCATGATGAGTGCATAGGGACTGTACAAAGCCTCGTCTCTCTCGAGAGGGTAGTGCTTCTTGTTGAGACTCAGAGCTAGGGTGCTGCGGTAGCAGAGTGCCTCCTCTTGGGCTATAGCCCCGTTGAGCCATCCTCCACCAGGAGAATGGCGGTTCGCAAAGTTAACGACAATGGGAGGCTGACACTTTGGTCCAGTGTCATCTTGTGCCCTGCGACAGAGCTCGATGGCAGCGTTGAGCGTATCATCGTTGACGACCTTGATGGTAGCAGGCTGTCTGTAGGATGGACAGTGGGCAGGGTGAAGACGGGTAAGAGAGCCAAACGAGTACTTGACCGAATGCCTCGCCAAGTCGTTTGTTCCCAGTTCTTTGAGCAGACTGCGTGAGATGTCTAGAGTCTCCTGTGCAATAGCTCTGAGTTCTTCCCTCTGGCCACTGTCAAAGGGACGGGATGGGGGTGAGTGTCGAGAAGATTGGCCATGTCGTCTCTGGTCTGAGAATGATGATCTCTTCATGTTTGAGTAAAAGTTTGATACAAGTCACTGTCTTGAACTTACTGACCGGGTGGTCTTGAGACTCTATCTAATACCTCGATGCTAGTGTTAAAGACTTTAATTAGATGAGTACATATTATCGGAACCCGGTCTGAAGTCGAATGAATTCGCAGCCTCGCCACGTCAATCGATATATGCAGTAAGATGTCGGGGGGTTGAAAAGCCGACCAGTGAGCTGGTAAGTCAGCAACGCCGCACTTATGCATGGGAAAGCTTGCCTCAATTGTTCACAAAACTGTGGAACAGTTGAGCCAATTAAATGGTATTGCCGAAAGGGTGGAGGATTACGCACACTCACAGGGGGGTTGAATCACAGTGTCATACACGCCAGACTTTTAAATGAAGCATAAATAAATATAAGCGAATGCAACATATTCAGCTGCTGAGTTCTGCTTTTGGTAATCGGTACATGGGTTCAGAGCCGTGGCTGACTTACGTGTCTGTCTGTTAGAAGCTCAGTTGTCAAAAACGGCATGTGAGCACGCTCATCTTCCTTGGAGAGCTGCATGCACTGGCCTGCGTTTCCGTCTGAGTCAAAGTCAGTCACCTCCTAACCGCCTCAAGCTTCATTGGTTTCCCGACTTCCATCTGATAAGCCGCAGAGCTCTGAGCGTTGATGCTATCATGCCAGATAAGTTTCATAACGGATGATTGCAGATTGAAAGTGTAAAAATGTCAACGGAGTAGAAACTCATTGGACCACGTCAATGATATCTAGGACTTTCTACAACCATGAATGTTCAGACAACCCAACAACCGTGAGGCGGCAGCTTGGATGGTAGTGAGCTGCCTAGTCCGTCTTGCAGCTTGCTTATAGCATCGAGAGGCTCCGGAGCCCGGACATTCTGATCCGCTAACTGCTTGTTGCCGAAATAGGCAATATACCTTATTATTTAATTGTACTTATATGGCTCTATATATCAGCTCATCGTGGCACTTAGAGCCGCAACGACCTGAGACAACGCGAAGTGTGTTCTATGACTCAAACTTTATTCCTCCTCAAAGGACTTTGTTGAAATATTCAACGCCTAAAGTAACGAGTCTCAATCCTCCTGTCCCATCACCACCATGCCTATTGTAGGTACATGGGCTCGGTTGCGCTTCGTGGAATGGTACTGATGAGTTCAACAGCGGATGAAGCGCCTTAGTCGAAGTGATCCAGAATACAAGGATCGTAAGATATACTCCTTCTCACAATCGTCTTCGCAAATCTAACCCAGATGGTTAGATGAGATTAAATTCAATCATTCATGGTCCCACGACGAGAAAAGCGCCAAGATCAAGTCGATCTACCTTGCCAGCCGAGACGATATCGAAAAGTCTGGTCGTGGGGAGCGCTTCTTTAGATACCTGTAAGACGGCACTCAAGATAGCAGAACTTAGTGGTCACTGACTCTACTTACAGGAATGGTGGGAGATACAAGAGACTCTACCACGGTACATCGCGTGCGTGTCACATTGGAGAATCGGGCAATAATTTGGAGCTTTGCTATGACAGTGATTGTGGCACATGCAGTATTCTGAGGCAGTCATTCAAACTGAAATATGCTGGTGAGTTCAGCGTTGAGGCGACACTATAAAAGCACACTAACATGCCAAGATGATGAGGGAATGTTTGGTCCTGGTATCTACTCTACACCAAATTCTTCAAGTGAGTCTTGCTCATACTCTCCAGTGGTTTATGCTCATCAGTGATACAGAAGCAGACGTCTACGTGAAGAACCACTACGTCAGCTCAAACCTTCACGCTATGCTCATTTGCTATGTCGTGGCAACTAAGCCTCAGCGCAAATTGCTAGCAGACCACAGCATCACCAGACCTTCACGTGGCTACGACTGTGTAAGTCCCCCACAACTACAAGCGATTGATTACTAACAATCTTCAAGATTGAGGGGGTGACTATTGATAACGGAGGGTCACTTCAATACCCAGAGTTTGTTGTCTATCGACATGATGCGATTATTCCAGTCGGAGTCATCATGTATACTCGCAAGGGTTGGGAGCCATTATGATCAGATATCAATGCTTGGCTTAGACAGAATAGCTTACATGTTTTATTTCCATCATTCCTAGCTTTCGTTTCGTAGGCGCCAGTCACTATCATACACTCTTGTCTCAGTTACCCTCACATCTTTAGTCAGAGCGTCCTATTGTTCCATCCGGCTTGGGAGCTGCCAGCGAGTAGGTACAGGTTCCACCGGTCATATCGGGACCGCATTCTTTCAAAGAGATTCTGCTCACTTGTGGCAGCTGCAAGCTCCTCAGCGAATCCGTTGATGTAGTCTGCCGTACCTGTAAGCATGGCTGTCGCCAAATTCTCATCTGGTGTCGATGTCGGAGTGAATGTGTGTCCGGGCACGACAATCTTAGGTCTCAAGGCTCGTATCTCCTCAAGAGCTGCCAGCCATTGGGTTCGTTTCTCCGAACTGGACGCCTCGCCCAACCACTGGTGACAATCACCATTGTAGACAATATCGCCTGCCACAACAAGATCTAACTCAGGGACGTGGATGAACGAATTAGCGTCTGTGTCGCCATGGGAGACATCATATAGCTTGAGCAGGTGACCATCGAGATTGAACTCATTGGATGTCGGAAGAGCCTGGAAATCGGATCTTGCATCCGGCAAACCGGAACCGTTTCCAGAGCGAAAGAATATCTTCTCCCAGAACGAATTCATGATTTCTGGTGATTGCTGTAGGTCGATTCCTTCGGTGACGGCCTTGGTAGCAAAAGCTTGCAATCCAGGAAATTGCTCTTGCAACACCGGGAGGCCGAAGAAATGATCACCATGAGCATGAGTACAGACAAAGTACTTGAGAGTGCTGCCCAGTGGCAGTTGAGATTTAATCCATTCTGCCAGTTCACGCGTAGGATTGACGGTGGCCGGGCAATCCACTACGGGCGCAGTCGTAGGAGTGTAAACCAGAGTGATTGACTGAGGTTGCCAAAAACCCGAGTCCTTGGATGAGGCGTCTGGAGAAGGAGCCTCGGTTGGGATTGGGGGGCAGGTGTAAATAGCAAATTTGAGAGACATGGTGAGAGCTTTGGGCGTTGTTTTGTGAGTAGGTGGTGGGAGTGCTGGTTCTTTTCAAGAAATACTGATTAGCTGGCGGTGAGGTGATACTGGGTAGGTCTATATTTTTAGTAATGATGACAGATAAATATCATGTATAGAATTAATACAGTTAGATAGCAAGACCGGAATATATTTCCTCTAAAGGTGGCGAGATTTAATAACCATGGTTTATACACAGCGTATGGATATGAGGGCAAAGTCAGCGTGATTAGTAAGGGAGCCGATCCGTGTAACACTATGGCGTAAGAGCTCATCATTGATCAGTAAACAGAGGACAAAGCAGGAAAGGAAAGGATCTTTTGATTTGTCACACTCTAAATGTGCGTTGACGGAGGGGTTTATTCAATATGCAGATTGAGGTCGCGGCAAATCATGTCAGTGTCCCGTTCAGCGCTGCTTAGTGATAAGAGTAGCAGGCGTAGGAATGAGAGGCGAGGCCTTCTGTAATCACTTGTGTAGACATCTCCTATCCACTCCGTCGCGTGAATCAGCCGACATCTGGCTATAAGTAGGCCAGTCCCTGTGCTCCAATGTCAAGTTCGCAAGAACTATACACACACTCCAATCTTTCAATTATTACTACAGTCCATTTCATCATTACACACTGCTATCATGTCGTCAGTGAGAAAGGTCGCTGTTATCGGAGCCAGCGGAAATGTTGGCAAGTCGACTGTCAAGGCGCTCATCCAAGAAGGCTTCCAAGTGACAGGC